GAAATAAATATTAATAACAATACGGAGTAAATGTTAAAAGTATTTAAAGTCAACAGATTTGTAGGAAACGCTGCAGGAAGCTTTAGCAAAACTGATAGATTTCAGAATTCTCTTATTTTCCCTGAGTTTTCTCTTGAAGGAAGTTAAGTTTGAACAGTTCTTCATGTCGTCGGGAAGGAGGTTCCAGGATAGTGCAGCTCTGTGCTTAAACGAAGATCTTCCCATTTCTATTCTTGGTCTATGAACCTTACAGACCCACGGTAACATGGAATCTATGTGTTTTGTGTGATAATAAAAAAAAAAAGCGGTTTTTTAATGACGTCATCTATGCGTCTGTACCCCAATAGATCATAAGAATCAATAAAATCGGCTGAATGATTCTGCTTGATTCAATTAATTAGCTTATTTTATAATTACCAGCAACCATTAAACGTACTTTACGGAATCAATATATGACTGTGTGTAAATAACGTGGATGACATGAAAGCCTTTTGAAAGCCTTGTTTTTTTCAATGGCTCACGGAAAAATTAGCGTGACTGTTCCCACCCATAACTGTGGTTTTGGACTAATTATAACATATTATGCATGCATGATTTACGATTTTGTAATTCATACAACAAAAACAATGGCTGAAAGCTCTGATTGAAAACGAAGAGTACAGAACAAAATTTACGAGTTGTGGCGAAATTCTTCGGCACATCTTTCTCCGGTCCACATCATAGACCACCAAACGGTACAAATAAGGTATATGACACGAAAAATGTTCTTAATGCGATAAACTTTTTTTCTTTCATTATTATTCACGTCGCACGCGATGCCGGCCTGTACAATACCGGCCTGTACAATACCGTATGTAGTTCAACACTCTTTTACGTGGCCTGCAAATATTCCAGTAGGTTTTAGTAGGAATTAATTAATCTAGAACGAAATATCATAAGGGATGATATGAGGGAAAAGAGGCAGCAGCAGCCTCGATCATGCGATGATTCTTTCAGTTTGCAGGTAGGTATGACAATTCTGTAAACTCGATTTGAATCACCAACCAGGCCGATTAATTTATAAGAATTGTGAGAAGATGTAAGATTTGTGAGGAATGAATCTTGTAAAGAGCACTTAGCGAGTCAAACATCGACAAACAACACTAGAATCGAAAGTTGTAATAATTTGTTTATTTAGACGATTTTTTTCTATAATTCAGTACATAACATAACATAACATAATCTTTATTTCTTAAGATAAAATCACATATCCTAAGTTACAACATAAACTCACAATGGAAACTATTACATGTCATATTTAAAAATTATCCTATTACTAAAAACGTTCTTAAACCTTTCAGTGTGGATTCTAGGGACAGAGACTGACGTATTTCTAAGTATGGATCATTTCTTTAGTTTTCAATACGAAGACAGCAGCGCCGACTCAGTTATCAGCACTTCAAAAGCCGATCTACAGCACTCAGGTGACCACCATGTAAGTCCAAAAGGCTTTGTATTGTGGGGTCCGGGATAGTCTCCCTCGCAGTCGTTTTTAGTCTTGTCACGCAACGCTCCTCCGTTGCGTGACGAAACTAAAAACGGCTGCGAGGGAGACTAGGTCTGGGAAAGTGAGTTCATACGAAAGACAGGAGATTTGCATACTCACCATGACACACCTCGAAGGTTTCTATGTGGCGTCATTCACAACCGATCACGAATAATAAAAATACAATCCACCCATGAATGTGCTCCATTCCCATGGTTGGTCAAACATTTATGAAAGAGTAAATTCCGCGCCTCCTTCAATTCGTGATTGTGGGCGCTTTCCATTCGACCAAAATTTTCGACATTTCCGGTCTGAAATCGAATGGGACGGGAAAAGTTCCGGGATAAGTTTTCGAAAATTTAAGAATACGTTGTGAGTGTGCCCTCTTCGATGCCGTCGGACGCGTCCCACTCGACCAGCGAAAATTCCGATATTTTGAACTGGTGATTGTTATTGAATGGAAAGCACTCTGTACTTTCACATTTCATGAGTTATTGATATATATTTTGTAATTATAATATTATTGTATTTACATTCTCAATTAATTTATATATTTGTATTTTTTTTTTTAATTCTATTGAGCTGAAAAGCCCACTTAGGGAGCATCAATAAAGTGTATGAAAGTGTATGAAAAGGCAGTCTATTTTGACCCTTATTTGGCATATTGTCCCGTATTTGGGGAAGACACGCGTAGGCCGCCATAGGGACGTGACTCGACCCCCTTATTTGGAACCATGTGTTCCTTATTTGGGAGAGTTAAATTCCGCGCCAACCCTCACGCCCCGTATTGACCAATCATGCCTCGCAGTTTCCAATACGTCATGCAAGTCTCGTGACTAAACACGCTCACAGGGAAAACGCACAAAAAAAACGTACGAGGCTTTGACTAGGGAATATATAGTTTTTCATAATGGAAGGGGGTTTACTTGTTTGACTCCCTGGATAATGTACGGTATCTGCATTATGTTTGAACAGTTAAAGTAGAAATCGCAACAGAAACATTCGCATGAATCGAATTTTAAAACTTGTCACAGAGATCATGTCAATTTCACGACCCCGTGTAAAGAACGTTCGCGCTTAGAATACTTAACCGGCTTCGTAAACAACGTTGATCGCTCAGGGGAAAAGGTTCAGCCCACTGTACACCTAGACTGGATGGGTCATAGCAAATTTGATGTAAGTTCAATACTTTCTTAAGAGATCGAATTATATCAGAACGCGATTTGACATCAAATAAGCTAGTTATTTAATCATTATCCGTGATCCTATTCTTACAGACATCTTTGGTGAAGGCATTCGCCGCCGGGTCTTTGAGCGGCACTTGTTCTGCTCTGTTATTTCAACCATTTGATCTGGTAAAAACTCGTTTGCAAGTAGAAGGAACGGCTTTATCTTCTGCTGAGCGGCTGAAGTTAGGGTAAGAATCTCTTTTGTTGAGTAAGAAAGTATTTTTTTTTTTTTTGTGCTTTTAACGAAAAACTGGTTCGAGAAGAGATACTTCTAAATGAGATCTAGTTTTACAGGTCACTAAAAACAGGAGCTTGAATTACTGATTATCCTGCTTGTTGTTTTTCCTTCACAGTGGAAGCAATGGTATGCTTTATACGTTCTACTCAGTAGCTCGAAGAGAGCATATTGGTGCACTTTGGAGAGGGCTTGTTCCAGTAAGTTGGTACTCTCCTTTTTTTCCTCATCCATTTCACATTGGAACCTTCTGTCATTTCTATTCTGTACTCTGTTACTTTTGACTGAGTTTCCACGTTTAACTTTTGTCTCTAGGCATTGTCGAGATGTGTCCCTGGAATTGGAATGTACTTCTGTGCTCTTCATGGTTTGTCACGATTTACTAGGTGAGTTAATCTCTGCACACTTCATCGTTTGCACATGGTTACCACCCTTACAAAAGATGAACTGATACAAGTGAAATATGTATGTACCATTCTGTTGGTGCAATGAAAAAGATTTGCATTCATGTTCTGTTTTACAAGTTCCATTTTTTTATACCGTTTGATACTCAACATGTGCAACTTTTTTTGCAGTGAGGAAAGAACCTTGGTAGAATCAGTTTTATTAGGAGCAAGTGCCAGAACAATAGCAGGAATCACCCTCTTGCCAGTTACCGTCGTGAAAACTAGATATGAGGTGAGTTTTCAAACTTCTTACCAAAGTCTGAATATAAAATGATTTCAATACATCGACAAAGTTGAAATGGTAAATTGGCCACCATTACGATTATAAAAGCTGACGATTCGAGCGTTAGCCCCTCCGACGAAGGGCTAATGCTCGAAACGTCAGCTTTTATAATCGTAACGGTGGCCAATTTACCATTTCGACTTTGTTGATATATTGAAAGTATTTCGTTACCCCCACCGACGCAGCCCCAAACAGTTTCTTTAGAAACTATCAGCCTTTATTCAAAGTCTGAGTATCTCTCTTTTGGATGCTGGGCCCCATTTACTCAAATTTGGCAGAAGTAAAACAAAATTGATAAATTGCACTGAGTAAGTACTTTTCCCCTCAATTGTAGAGTGGATTTTATAGCTACAGCAGTATGTTGGATGCACTGATGTCAATCTGGAGAAGGGAAGGAGGCAAAGGTATGTTGAATTGGACTGACATTTGATTAACCCTTTCACTCCCAAAATCTCATGAGCAATTCTCCTAACTGTCTGTCACAATTCTTATGGTGTTAGTTTGGAGAATTTGGTATTGGATCAACTAACTCCTTTGATTGACAGTGCATCCCATTCTTTATTCTCATCCCCTGTGTGCTTGTTATTGTATTAAAATCGGTGAGGAATTAAAGGGTTAAAAAGCAGTTTACTGGTGGTTACCACTGTTTATAAGTGCCCAAAAGGCCTCTTACTCCTCTCCATTATCCCTTTGACCTCTGAAAGTGATTAGCATGTACATTATCACCCTTAATTGAAACATTAAGGTCATGAGAATATAGGAAATGATCATCAACTTAATAAAGCTCTGAATGTGAAACAATTACTCCTTGCTAGTACCTTGGAAAATGTATAGAGAACAGTGTTGAGAATAATAATAATAACTTTAATTTATATAACGCTCATATCCTGAGCTCATGGCACTTTACAACACTATGTTGGGGACTTTACCAGACTGCTAAGCAGGTTACAATCAAATAAAGGCGAATCTAACTGATGCCCCCTCCCCCCAATTCCCAGTAAACAGGCCAGACCACATCACAGTAATCTCGTGAGTGGGTTCTTTAATGCTTTAATTTTATGGCTAGGGGAAAATATTCTTAAATAAGGTAAAAAATGATCTCTGTCTATTATTTCAGGCTTATACAGTGGGTTGTTAGCAACTGTAGCACGCGATGCCCCATTTTCAGGGCTTTACTTGATGTTCTACACCAAGATAAAGAGACAAGCAAAGAATGGTGAGCAAATAATTTTCTCACGGAGTTTGAGAACATATTAGTAGTAACTGACTTTCAAAGCTACTTCTTGAGCCTGCATTGGTCATGCAATTTTCAGTGGAGAGTTCCCTAGCTGTTTACATATACAGGAATTGCCTGACCAACTGACCAAAATTTCTTCCTGCTTATTCGTAGGAGTAATTCATATCTCGTTTCTCATTAAATAAAGTGAAGGAAGAATTAAATTTTTTCAAGAAAGGATGTACTTTTCAAGTGAAATTCCTAGAACAGTCTGTGAAACATACTTTAATTTACTTCCTTAAATGTTGTTCTTTTTTCCTTTAGGACTAGGTACACCAGAACTCCGCGCCTTTGAGACTTTTGTGTGTGGTTCTTTAGCTGGAGTTGTAGCTTCAGTTGTAACACAGCCTGCTGATGTGGTGAAGACTAGACTTCAATTGTTTCCACATAAGTATAATAGCACAGGCAGTGCAGTCTTTTGTATTTTAAAGGTGAGAATAAATATATCTTATTAACGAAGGGCGAGGGCCGCACTGAGAGAATATTGGCCCTAGGTCTTGTCAGTACAGACTGAATGCAGCGAGGTCCGTACAAAAAAGACCAAGGGCCGATATTCTTCCAGTACGGTCCCGAGCAAGCTTGGTTAATAAGAGAGTTATTATACGACTGAAGTTCAAAGGGACACAAGTGCGGTATCGTTCAGGACCATTCAGGACAGTGCCCGGTCCAATACTTAGAGAATATTGGACCGGCAATAGAGCATTTTCATTGGTTGATTTTAGTTATTGGCCCTCTGACTGCCCGAGTTGTGTAATAAATATAAAGATCAAATGCATTCAGGTCTTCTATTTATTAACTTCTATACCTGTAATACTAGCTTAATTCTTGCTTTTAGTTAGTTACTGGTGTAATGTTCTTGCATATAAGCCAAAACTAGAAGATACAAATTCACTAGCCTATTTTTTCTCTCAAGCCCTCGGGTAACTTTTCAGTCTGGATCAAGTCCATTTTATATGCCTTTGAAGATTTAGAGCTGTATGTAATTTAACTTTGATTTTCATTATCTTTTTTCTTTCCTTTTAGACCAATGGAGTATTTGGATTCTTTAAGGGTCTAGTTCCCCGTGCAGTGAGAAGAACTCTCATGGCAGCCATGTCATGGACTGTTTATGAAAGAGTATGTTGACTTAATGATTAATTGTGTCAGAGATTTTAAGTTAAATTCTCTCTCAAGTTCATGAACTTATAATAGTATCCTGAAAGGGAGAGAGTCCTAACCATTTCCCAGTAATCATCTGGATAATACCTGTTGTTAGGATTAAGGTGCTTGTAGTCAACTGGGGTTTTCTTTGAGTTCGGAAATCATCAATTAGAAGTTGACAAAAACGGAGATTATAAACTTAAGGATCTCTTTCTGCTGTCCTTCCTCGTGGGGCTTGAGCTGATAACTGTCTGATGTGAGGTTATCAAGATTATGATATTCAAACACCTTAATATTTTGATTTTCACATAACACAGGCTTACTGTACTCAACCCAGATTAGTCTAGCCGCAGTAAAATTGCTACAACTTATGTGTGCAAGAGTTTCTTAGGAGCTGTAATGACAGGCCCTAATCTAGAACATGTACAGTCTATGGGCAAACTTGGCTAGTACAATTACTGAAGAAGCAAGGAAATTTAACTACCAGTAGCTCCTTGCTTCCATTAAAACCCTGGTCCTCTTATTTTATACTGTACCTTCTCATGTTAAGTTGCATTCATGATTGTTTTTTATAACAAAAGGAAACCTTCACTGAATTATTTTACAAAGTTGTGGTAATTAGCATAAAGATTCATAAGCTATAATGCAACATTTTTCATGATTTTTTTCTCTCTAGCTTTCAAGAGAATTGGGATTAATCAGCTGATAATGGCAGTGAAATATGTTCACCAGATACAAGGTCATTGTTGAAACCCAGCTAATGAGACAAGAGCAAAATCCGGGAGAAAGTACTTTGTACTAAAGCGATTTTATTCCTAGCAGGAATCCCATCATCAAGTTTTCAGCTAAGTACAAAGTGAGCTGGCTAAGCAGATTTCTGGTATTGTGCTTTTGCACACTAAAAATTAAGGAGAGAAGGGATATATAGTTATGTGTTGTGATATGACACATAATCTTGTTATTATCATAACATCTTCATAAGAATAAAAGAAAAAAGTAATTTTAGTTCTAAGAACAGCTGTACGGGTGTAATTTTAAATTCAGATCAGAGAGAAGTTGGTTTTCACTATAGATGTTGACAAATGATTATCTTGCTGATGACAGTGCAGTGTGAATTAAAAAAATGTATACATTGTTATTGAGGTGAAAAGAAAGTTAAAGTATATTTATTTGCCTACTTATTTATTTCAAAGTGAAGAAAAGGTAAAACTTGCACAGGTGGAGTTTTCTCAGATATGGAATTAAGAATTTTTCTTTTCTTGGTAAAGTCAGGTAATATGGAACATGTGCTTCTGATCACTGTCAAAAGTACAAATTTTGCCATAACAACTGGATAACCTGTTTACAAAAGTTGAAATAATGAAACTATGGACTTTGGATTTTGACTGGGTTACAAGAGGGAGTTTGAGGTTGTCATATTAATAGAGTTGTAATATGTTATTGAAAAAATTAGCTGTCTTCTGCAACATTTTTCTTATAGCATTTTTTCTATTTCTTTTTCTGCTGCCCTTTAGAAGAGGATTAATGAAACTATAGGAACTCCTTGTTTGAAGTTTAGTTGTGACATTCTGTTTCTTTGGAATAATTAAGCTTGATAAACAATAGTATTGATTTAAATCAAAATTAGTTGATTATTTGTGGGTTTGTTTCTCCACTAAGGAGGGAAGGGCAAAAAAAAAATGAGGAGTGGGTTAGTGAATGTGTATATTACATAAAAATGTAAATAAGATTTTTAATGATAGATATCTATGTGAAATAAAATGGAGAAGAGTCCATTTATCAAAGGTCAGATTTTTGTGAATCGTTGTTATTGACCAAATATTGCTTAATAAAATATGTCTCACAGTTATTGAAGTAGTGGTTATTGGTTTTCTGCCAATACTGGTATGTTAAAAAGAGCAGAGTAGGCTAAATTTCCAATTGACTAAAGGGGGTAAGTTTTCAAAGAAACTGCAGTGCTGCATTGGTTGGGAGTATTGTAGGATAGTTTGGTTTTATCAACTGAGTTGATAAATGTACACTGGCCACCACATAGAGTTTCTATAGCTGATATTTGGAGCATTATTACTCTCTGTCTGAGCAAAGCCAATTACCTGTTTCAGGGAAAAACTTCCATACCAACAAGGGATAAACCAGGGAAAATGAACCAAATTGATACTGTAGTGTGTTTGCTACATGGCAGAGTTAATGGATTAATGAACCAAATGAACTGCCCCCAGCCTCTCCCCTTTTTTTGACTGGAGTAAGGTGGGGCAGAACACATGTGGCCTATGAAAGCATGTTGAGAATAATGGGGTGATTAATTTGTGGGAATCCCAATGAGTACCAGCCCATTTGGTTTTGGCCTGTAAAATATACTTCCAGGGAGGTTAAGATTTCTGGATGAAAGCTTATAATGTCCCATATCAAGTTCTTCATCAAGGATGACCATGTTAATTGCTCTTCTTTTTCAAAATTTTTTAGTCCTTTCGGTATCCTTTTCAAGTGGTTTCCAAGTTTCCTCATGTGACTTTTTTATTATTTGATACTAATGTGAAAAATTGCCTCACTCTGCAAATTCTCTCCAATTTGTATTCTAAGTAGAAAATTCATTAAAACCATTGTGATAGAAAATCAAACAAATCTAATTTCATACTTCTTGGAGTGTTTGTTTTAAGAATTAATGTGACATCAAAACTATTTCTCCATTTTGGAGGACCGTCACCTTCGGCCTCCACTTTGTCTTCTTCACTTTGCAATTGATGCTAAAATGAAAAATTCCTCACCTGCAAAGTCTCTTCACTTTGTATTAATATTCTGAGTCGAAATTTCATTAAAAGCATTGTGACAGAAAATCAAATCTAATTTCATACATCCTGCAATTTTTTTTTTATTATTATTATTTTTAAGAGTTAATGTGACATCAAAACCATTTCCCCCTTTTTGAGGACATCATCGCCTTCGGCCTCCACTTTTGTCCTCTCCACTTCCTGAAGAAATGAAACGTGACGTCACTAATGTTATTGTTCTTTTTACGCCGGAAGAAACGAGTGAGGTACTGGGGAGAGTATCAGTAAGCAAAAAGCAAAATGGACGAAGTGGCAGATCTACGGGTTAGAAAAAGCCATGAATTTTTGGTTGTTTGGCGCCTTTTTTTTATAGTTATGATTCCAGTTGTTAATTTTAGACTTTTTCCTTTACATACAGCATATGTTATTGAGTTTTCGCGTCTCAGAACTACAATCATTGCTTGTTTTTGCGGGACGGTCAAAAACGGGAAGAAAACATGAACTTATGGGTCGAGCGCTCCAAATGTTGAAAAGCGAAGGAAATCATCATGTTAGAAAGAAACTACGGGAATTGTATGAGAGAAGATGTCCTCGGAAAATGGTTTTACCCCCAGCTCCACCTCGACCGCCAATACCACCGCCAGTTCAACGATCTCCGCAACTACCAAGTGTAAATTCGGACACAACCGGTGTTCCCGTACACCCTGACGTTCGACTTTCACATCTACCGTTCTTTGAACAAATCGACGACTTAGTGCGACCAACAAGCTTAGGTGAGTCTTCAACCTATCCTCTGTAGGAAATATGTTGGATTTTGGCTCGAAACGCCGTTTGAAATCGTCTTGTTGTTTCTAGATATTTCCATGCTGCGCAAGTGTCAAGTCACTCGTGAAATAAGTCATGACGATACAGCGTTTTTTTCGACATGGTTTGACAGAATTAAGTCTCTTTTTGATTTAGAAAATTAAATCAATTGCCAATGGTTCCTTTTATCCTGTATGTGTACATTATATATCCAATTTTTCTTTAGCGGAGAAATTTCCGCGTCACGAAGACGTTGATGTATTCAAGCCCCAAAATTATGAACGAAAATTCGGTGTGCAATCTTTTTTTCGAAGCGTGGGCTGTAAACCCGAATGTCTTTGGTAAACTGAGTCAAGAGTTATTTAAATTTTGTCTGAGAATTTCGGTTTAAGAACAGAAATTTCTTTGAATGTGGTCAAAATAAAATTCCAGTGAACACCCAATAATGACATTATCGGGTTAGTGCCCTCTTACATGTTCTGCTTTGTTCTGTTTACTTTGTTCTCAAATCAGATTTTGTCTGTTCGATGTGTTTGTGTAGAGAATCGAAAATTAAAAGAGGTCACTGGGGTGAACCTTTTTCAATTCAGGATTCAAAAGATGGCCTAACCAACCATTTTAGGGTTCTGTATTACACTTGTCATCATCACCATTCTCTTGTCATGGTTGTCTCTTTTATTGATAGGGTGAGGTTTTACCACTAAAAATCAAACAAATTAGAATCATTGTCACAGTTCTATGGTTTTTACAATACTTTGCATCCTATGGCATTACTGTTTGTGATCCTATGTTTTTTTCTTTGCGAATTCAATTAAGAATTGTTCAAGTAATAATATAACAATTCATAACGAAAGTTGTTCAATTTAGTATCGTCATACAGAACAATTCAGGGGCTATTAGAAGAATATGTAGTGTTTTTGAGTTTGAGAAGATGGGCGCATGGAACATTGTTATGGTCAAAGCAATATTGGATGCGTATAGTCACAATAAATCTACAGGAGAACATTTGAAATATCTGCTGCCCTGTTCAAGGCTTTCAAAATGACTCTTGAACTATGAAAGGGCTTGAAATTGTTCTCTTAAGAGATTAACAGATACTGACTCAACGATCAGTAACCATCTTCATGGAATCCACTGGAACTTATCTAAGTTATTTGAATCCTTTGCTCAGGAGAGGCTGCCCCAAAAGTCTTTTTTTTTACTCTGTAATTTTATGCTGATCATTTGTATCAGACTATTATATTTGTATACTGACGGAAGAAACAGAATGTGCTGAAAGGCACTACTACAATTACCTTCTTCAGTAGCTACTTCCTTCTCTCTGAACTTTTCCTTTTTTTTGAATAATTTAAAGCTTGAAAATGTGATAAAATTTTTCTGGTCTTGAAATTTCCGTCTGTCCATGCAAATATATGTCTGACTTTTATGTAGGTGTAACAGAATACAGGTATCAGTTGTAACTGGTTTATGAAATTTTATGTTCCATTTCCCCTTCCAAAAGAACAAGTTGATGGCAGGGGTACTGTCCTTAGAAATGTAGATGTACCATGTGCTGAAAAACCTCAAATATCTTTTTCCACAAGTTAGGTTGCTAATATTTCATGAAATATTGCTTTTAGTTCTTAGAAGTGAGTTGTCACACTTTCAAGAAGCATATGTTATGTTTCATTTAACTCCAAGCCAAGTGCAACTTATAAGTAGTTCAAGGTGAGCAAATTTTAACAAGGCTGTTTTTAGTTGGAAATTAAACTACTGAATCAAATTTAACTAAGCCTTTAGTCTAAATACTTAGGTATGTTATAAAGTAGTGCAAGTAGTGTTGTCTCTTATTTTAAGTGCAAACAGGTAGAGTAAAGGAAGTCTTTTCACCTGACAGTGTTGAATTTTGAAGAATTCCAGGTAATAAATTTTATCAGTTATTGCCTGAAAAGGAGAACTCTACACACAAGTTGTTCTCAATGAGTAGCTTTGTACAACAGTTATTTCTGTTATTGGAAGGGTCTTCTGTGTGCATTGCTTTTATTTACTAAAAAATAATACATTTCTGGCCACATTGTTTGCAAATTACTTGTTTCACCAATATAAATTTTTTTCACTTACCACTTTGCCATAATCATAATACCTATATGTTCACAGTTCTTGGGAGTGTTCAAACATCTACATATACTAACCATGTAGTTGAACCTCTTTCAAAGGGATACGCGGCCAAATTCTAGGAATGAGTACACAGTTCAAGTTCAATTAAGGTATTGTAATGTTAGAATGCATTGTTAGTTTTGAATCTTATTATGCATGTATTTAAGGGGCTCCTAGAGTTGGCAAAGATGATACAAATCTTAAGTTTTGATTGGTGTTTTGCCGGCATTGTTTCAGCCTGAAAATATTTTGTTGAGCTTTCTCTCGTGTGATAAATCCTTTTTTTAGCCAGTTCAAGCTGGCTTTGTATCAATTGTATTTATTTTCCTCTTGCATGTTGGAAGATATCCATGTTGGCCTCATGCTGGGCTAATCACAAAAATAACTGGTCATGAACCGGTCATATGTCAGCCAAATCAGATTATTATTTTTTTGCATGCATTGCGTCTGTAAGAGACAAAAAGGATTGAATTACTCACAGTAATACATGGTACTTGGGCCAGTTTATGCCTGGGGATGCACCATTAAAGAAATAAATGTTGTATAAAGAAGAAGTGTGGCATTTTGCCCAACTTCATAACATCTGTTTAACTGACAGGACTTCAACTTGAATTTTAGAATTAAGTTGGAAGGTTGTATTTATTGTTGTTTATAATAAAGTACATTCTTCCTTTTCAGATTTTGCCTATTCGAAACAAGTTGTGTACAAGAGGACAACTTTCCGTCTTCACTGTGTGTCAAAGTGAATGGAAAAATGTGTCAGATCAATACAGTATGTCTCAATTTTCATATGATATTGTTTGAAAGTGTGCTTGAAAGAAACTGTGCTTATATTTTTTTCTCTCCAAAACTTTCACTGAAGCAGCCATATACTTTAAGTTTTCCAAAATAGAAATTTTATCGTGATCTTGAAGCTTGAGCTTTGACATTTTGCTCAAGAAATGATCCTGGGACTGGCATGGTGATGGAATGAGTAAACACCTTTTTTTGTTTCTTAAGCACACCATTTGCAACGAGAATCTCCAAAGCATTGAATTTTGGTTAAATAAAGGACCAATTGATTATTACTGAAATCACAAAGAAATCATCTGACTTAACCCTTTCAACTCTAAAAAGTGACTAAAATACTACTTCTCCTTTTGATGGTAAGTTTTACCTGATAATGCATCTAGTATGGAAAAACTTGCCACCAAGTGTTGTCTTGAATATAAAACTAAATTTTCTCCTAGACAACCGATTTACTAAAAGACGTGTCAATGTAGGGGGAGAATTAGAAATCAGACCTTAGAAGTTGAAGGCTCGACAATGTCAGTAGTTATTCATTGAAATTTGATGTACTTTAAGGGTCACACATCACAGAATTGCAATCCTAATGCCGAATCAAAACGACCCAGTAAGCCAGTTAACATAACACCATTGTGTCGTCTATCGTCAACTGTACCAAATCACATTCATGTTACATGGACACCAAAATTTGGTCAGGTAAGCCTGGTTATTTATTCATTAGAGTTAGATATTCCATAAATGATAACAGAAGGCTCTGCACAAGCACTTTTCCTTTTAAAAGTGTGACTAAAGTTTTGCCGATACTTTCCGTTCAATTTTGGTGCAATGTATTTCAAAGAATCTTATCAGCAGAAACACAGTGTTGTATAAGCGATGCAAGGTTTCCTCCCAAAGAATTCCTCAACATTTCAATGCAAACTGAACACCACAGTGTGATGTTTGAACTGACATAGTTTAATTTTTGTGTATGGGCTATTTTCACTCCCAGAAAGAATTCAGATGAACAGATTCAACTTGTGGAGGAAAGAAATTAGAAAATAATGTTTCAATTACTTTAGCTTTGGCTTCATTAATATAGATTTTGATAAGAACAGGAGGTCTTATATTTTTTGGTTCATTGTGATGCAAGGACCTGAAGATTGGAAGTTTGGGGATAATCAACTAAATTAATGTTTATACTAATTTGGGTTTTAACATATTCAGGGGTGAGTTTTATAGACTTTATAGAATAAAGCACTGTTTGAAGTGTGATTCTATTCAACAGAGGCATGTGGTAACGGTAAAACTTGTTCAAGCTGTCACCTCGAGCTGCTTGATACAGAGATTGAAGAACAATGGTTACAGAAATCCAGACCATTCAAGGGCATTAAGTGAGTGCATGTACTTCTGTAGCAGCACACATATTAAGGCTAGCAGGCAATTAAAAAGCTATTGATTTAGAGTTTTTAATATATTTCAAGTTTGGTGTTTCCAATTTTTGATTTCAGTTAAGGAAAAGTTGGCCCACGATCCAGAGAGTGAAGTTGCCACAACAAGTCTTCGAGTTTCTCTACTTTGTCCAGTGAGTTTGATTTAATTTGGTATTACCCATAGGTATTGTAGATATGTTTGTTTTCACTTACTAATATACAATAATCCTGTTCTTTTGGACCTGTTCTGAAATTTATGGAGCAATCCAAGACATACATCATAACAGGAATTTCTTTTTGTTCTTTAAGCTTGGGAAGACACGAATGACACTTCCTTGCAGGTAAGCATAAATTTTGTTAGGACCACTTGTTGCATTACTCTTGGAAGGACTGAATGGCTTTCCATGGATTATTTTCCTTTAAAATAACAAGTTTATTTTTGCAGGGCCATCACATGCAATCATTTACAATGCTTTGATGCAGCCCTGTATTTGCAGATGAATGAAAGGCAAGTACAAATGGCTTTCAGTGTTAATTGATTTTTTAGATGTTTCTTTGAATTTTGCAGTGTTGTTCAAGAGCTATGGTAGTTTTTTTTCCTTTTAATTTTTATTTTTTTGTGGGGGTTTTACTAATGTACAGGCTACAGAAATTAAAAGTCTTGATTCTAAGACATAAATTCTCTTCTTCAAGTACCAGTGGATCTTGTATTTATCATAACGTTGACAAGATTTGATTTAAACTGGGAATTCTCCATACTGTTTTCTATACATTTCTTTGAGTGCTAACAAGGAGAATTTGTTGAACAATCATGAACATCCCAAGTTCGTGATCATTTCCTTTCCTCCCTTCACCCTAATGTGTGATTCAGAGGAGACACTCCAAGGAGAGATAAGATGCCAGTCGTTCTTACAGGTTAAAAGGGTTAATGCTTTCTTTTCTTTTTCTTTTTTTTTTTCCCCTTTTGAAAAGTTATTGATGAGTTCTTTGCTTTTCTTTTTGCTTTGATATCCCTGTAGGAAAACAACATGGATCTGTCCAGTTTGTGATAAGAAGGCACCATTTGATAAACTTGTATTAGATGGGTAGGATGCTTATTCTCTTATTCTTGTTAGGCATAGGGGTATAAAACATTTAAGAGTGAGTTGGGTATGACAGGGAGAAAGGATGAAAGAACAGCCAATCCTTACATTAACTTGACATGTATATTCTCTGCAGTACTAATCAAAAACAAGAATCACATCCTATAACTGAAATCAGTTGTAGGTGTGCAACTCTCTTTTAACTTTGAATTGTGTAGATATTTGCTCCTGCTGGAAGATTTTATTGAGAAATTGATGTATCCTTTAAGAATCAAGAGACAACAATTGGATGACTCTTCAAAAAGTGTAATGTTCACTGCAATAACCATGAGATTTGTCTACCAAAAAGGAAGTTGAAGCAAAAAAATCAAATGAGTGGACAAGACACTGTCAACACAAATTTTGTATCCTTTGTACCTGCAGATTGTTCAGAGAGATTCTGGAAGCAGCTGTTAATTGTAATGAGATTTCATTTCATGAAGATGGTTCCTGGAGACCAATAAATGACTTGCAAGGTATAGAGCACTTGTCCACCTTTAATCCTTAATGTATATATCCTAATAGATATGAACAAGCAACTAGACGTAATATTGTTTATTGTGCCCATAATTCCAATTGTCTGACATGTGAAATACAGTTATCACAGCCAAATTTTGTGGGCTTTATGCTGGCATGTTCCTCCTGCTATAGCTTCTCTATGATGCACATCTGCAGTGTATGTTGTTCAATATGCATCAAGATCTTATTTAGCAACTTGAGACATGCAGGCCAGACCCACAACACTTTATGCATCAATTGAAACACAAGGCTAATAAAATGGTTGTGGGTCACTCAGAGCCTAAATTCTAGGGCAAGTTGTGGGAAGAGTCAGTCAGATCATAGTAAACAAGCGTCTAACTGATCATTAATAGCACTGCATGAAACATGGCAGAGATTATATTGGCTGTGATTACTGTTGGATATCATCCCAACACAGCGCATGCATAGGCGCCAAATATGAGGGAAAGGTACAAGTAATGGTTGCTCCTATAACTGTGACACTTTTGATTCCTAAAAAATGAAATGCCACTGGACTGACTTATAACTTTAGGTATTTGCTTCAAATTCAAAATCACAAAAGTTGAGCTAAAAGGCTGATAATGAATTGTTGCGCTGATCTTTTGTTTCACTCCTCTTCCCCAGAACATGAAAGCAAGAAAGCTATTAGTGCACTGATATCCAGTGCAGTTGTGTCAACACCAGAAAAAGGTGTCTCAGCTAGCAAACTGCATCTTCAGGGTATGTAACATACCTCTGCGTGTGGAGAATTATTTAGTTGTTGTCTCCTGCAGTTGTAAAATATTTTTTTCTTACCTGTATTTCAAGAACAGCCTATGTTGTTCACTCCTGAGTGGAAGGGTGTAAACTCCCATACCAACTCCTCACGAATGACCAGCTCCAGTTAAAGACATTTCTTCAGCTTCCTCTGGATGTTGACTTAACCCTTTAACTTCCTTGGATGACCAAAACATAATTTCTCTTAACAATATCAATACAGTAACAATATCTAGAAGACAAGGGATGAGAATAAGAAAAATATCAATTAGGGAGATTATTATTTGATCCAATACCAAATTCTCTAAAATAACATATTAAGCATTGTATGTCAGTCAGTAAAGAGAATTATCAATGAGACCCTGGGATGAAAGGGTTGAGTGAGCATAGACCACTTTCATAAATGGCTGCCAGATTAATATTCTTTTGTTTAAATTTAAATCAGCCCGTCTGGCCTCGCTTGAGATAATGTATTCTTTTGAATTTTGTACTGGAGAACGGGTCCAGAAGGGCTAATTTAAATTTAAACAAAAGAATATTAATCTGGCAGCCATTTGTGAACGTGGTCTTTGTATTTACCCATGTAAAGGAAGGAAAATTTTGTTGTTTACTAGTAGTGGAGAGTCACCCTTGTGAGTTCCTGCATGATTCTAAATTAAGAGGACTTTTTGCAGGGGAGACAAAGGAAGTTGACAACAAGAAGGATAAAGAGTTTGAGGTTATAGACCTCACTCTAGACAGTGATTCAGAAAGTGAAAAGGATACAAAAGACAATGACGATGATGAAGAAAGCGACAATGATCGCGATTTGAACACACCCAGGTACATTGCCTATTAGCCTCTCTTGTAGGCTGCATACACTTTCTCAGCTTCAAGAGAACTAAACTGACTGTGAAAAATCTTTCATTTTATTAAGCATAGACATTTAATGTTCAATTGTTGAACCAAAATCATATTTATTCTACATCTGAAAAGTAAACAACACCCTTTTTTTGGACAAAGATGTGATACTTTTTTCCAATTTTTGGCCTCATGATGTTGGTCATTTAGGTAAGTCTCTCTCTAGACTGATAACATAGTATCTGAGCATGTTCTGTTTGTGTAGGCCACCCTATGGTGTTATTAGCACTGCACCTGGACCTGGTGGAGTTAAGGCGCCTCCCGGTTTGAACCCAATGGTGTTAACAAACAGCACAAGCACAATACCTGGAACATCAACCTCGGCACTGCTGAATCCCAACTTTTTCTCTCCACTGGACTTTCCATGCCCAGGTACTTAATGTCATTTAGAAAAATTCCAAGAAAACTTGATTGGGTTTTCCATAGGCAGGGGTGTCAATAATTTTTTTTTACAAGGGGCAGCTAATTTGTAATATGTGGCCATGCCCAGAAAAGGGTATGTAAGGCAAAACCCAAACACAAGAGCCAGCCCACAGGTTAAATAGACCCCACTGAGAGGTCTTATAGGCAGTAATAGACTGCTGGTAACCAACTTTCATCGAAACCCCTGCATAGATAAAGGGAAATCTGCCACTCCTTGTCTTAACTTTCATTTTCCTTTTTGTTTTCATGTGATTTTTGTTGTTTTGGGTGTGTTACGATATTGTAGATGAAAAACTGGCACGCTTTTGATTGGCTGAAAAAGAGTGCATTTTTCGTGCAACACAAGTGCAATGGTGTAATATGAGTGCAGATTACAAATACTATGCATGCACTGCCAAAATTTCATGTCTTGATTTTCTGTGATGCTTTTTTCATGTAAATTATTAAAAAAGTAGCAACATAATTTCTAGCGCATTTTGGAGTAGATAAGCACTTGAAAACTTTGCAAAGACTACAAATTGCACTCTCCCTACAGGCTTGAGCAATTGTGTTTTCTTTGAAAATCTTACTCGTGCTTATTAACAACAAATTGCATTCCAGATCATGTTATTACCTTTACAAAACTGAAGATTTACCAACATTGAATTCAAATTGCAACACTTATACCTGAACAACAATGGGGCTAACTTTGCTCACCCACTACTTTTATTCTTTCTCTCTTGGTTAAACACTTGTCATCATCTGTCTTTTGTTAGCACTTGATCTCGACAGTATGTATCCTCTTTTTTCTCCCAACGAAACTGTAAGTACCCTTTGGTGGATGATACTTTCTTTTTAGTCCATTCTGTTGCTGTTTTTGTTGTTTGTGTTGTTGGTGTTTTATTTATGTCATAACCTTTGTATATCAGAGAAGAAACTGAGAACCTCTTGTGTGACAAGTTGTAGGTAGGTAGATAGTCTGTAGTCCTAGGTATATTTTATGCTATATTCGTCTTACAGTGCGTCTTTAAATTTTCATGTATTCACAAACGTTTGCAGTGCGTCTGTTGAAAATTTTGAAAGCCAATCAGAGAAGATGTTTTACAGAAAATTCCTTCTTATTTGAATCGAGCCAGTCAAATGTAGCCCACAAGACAACGAAATCTCGTATCGTTCAGAGGCAATTGGGCCTAAGCTTGTGAATTTAGATGAAATCTAACTGCTTGACCAGTTTCTGTTCGGCAGTGCTTTCATTAGATTTACTGTGTTCTGCAAAATGATTTAGTTTAAAAATATCGATTGTGAAATATAGCTTTGAAAGCAGCTAAAATATTTGAAGCTATTCTGTGTCAATTTTGTATCCTTTTTAAACCATGAAATACTTTTGAATAGTGCGTTGCTGTTGAATAGCTTATGAATCAGTTAGCTAGAAAATTATTTTTGAGTAATCAATTTCTAAATTTTGTTTAGAATGTAGGTATATAAGAGGACTTGTGCTGTCAGGGAATAAGTTTTTTTTAGATCTAAGTTGGCCTAGTTATTTCCTCTCTTAAACTGTAAGCACCTCAGTGGCTTTTCTTAATATAATTATATCAAATTAGTTAAATTACTGCTTTGATATTCGCTATTCATCACGAAACGCTTAGGGAACTTTTTAATGCGATGGAGCTTTGTTCCGACGCTGGCCAACGCCTAGGATTTCAGCTTTCCGTAGCTTTATACCACGTTACGAATTTCACGTTAGAGCGTTTTTGAATCGGGTTTTGTAAAACTTGAAGTAAATTAATCTCAGCAGTTATCAGAAGAAAAGAAAATGTCCCAAGACACCGTTGAGAACTCTTTCCTAACCAAAAAAAGCAACAGCCCATTTCCGAATTACCCGTGGCCTCTTTTTCAAAACGAGGCCTTGTACTCAACCATTCTTGTGAAAATGCGTTTAATTTGCATGTGAATGAAAACTTAAAATCATATGAAAGGATGAGCACGAGGACTCGTTTTGAAAATGAGGCCAAGGGTAATTCGGAAAAGGGTTATTGCTTAAAGCGCGGGAAAACGCGGGCGACTAAGTCGTGATTGGTCAGGGCTAGTTTTGCATCTGATTGGTTGAGAGAGTGGCGTGAGTTTTATGGACCAATCGCAGTGCGTAGTAAAGCAAAACCAAAAGCAATCCCGCATTACTTTCGATACTCAATTGTAAATAGCTCCAATTTTTAACCAAGTGTGTTTCATTTGGCCACCGACTAAGCACAAAAATTTTTTAAGAAGCCAGTCGTCTAATTGTAGTGTATAAAGATTTTCTTTACATTTTTATTCCTCAGTATCCAATGTATCATCAACTTCTTGGCCCCCACGGATCGTCAAATGTGATTCAGCTGGATTAACAGCAGCAAACTAAATCGAAGAAAGAGCAGATGGATATTATGTATTTTACTGTGTAGAGACAAACCAAGGATAAGCCCTGTTAAGTAACCAGTGACGGTTAAAGCACAAGATCATTATCTTCTCATCCCACGGCTGCCATCAGTGAAGCAGTTCAATCACAATCTGTCCAAGTCGTGGATGTTTGCTCAAGTTCTTAAGAAACCATCCCTTACTCTATCCTAACCTCACCATTACGGTGTCTCTCTTTGATCAGATAAGTTGATGCAAATCCCAAACCAAAGTAAAAAGATATGGAAACCTATTTAGTGCTACACCTTCCCATTCAGTAATTTTCGACAAGTTCAAAACTAAATTTGGAAATGCGGTCTGTTATGGGCATGAGGCTATCAGCCCCTTGCTGAGAAGGAACATTGATATTAGCAATTCATCGTGTAAGATTTAATACGGGCCCGTCGGCAACGACGGAAATCTTAAGAGACTTTTTCACAAGCAGTGTTAAACTTAATACCAACGTGAAGTTAAATACGTCTTCCAGGCTGTAATAAGATTTAAAAAATCAGACGGTTTCCCTCGTGGAGAATAGGGATACGGTTAGAGATGGAAGCTAATATATTTGTTACTTATAAATCCTCTATGCTTGCTGTTATTGATCTACACCATTTTTTAACAAGCTTGTTTCCTGTTACTAAGAAAAGCGCACAAATTGTATATTGTCAGGAAGAAGTATTAAGATAATGAAAGCTATTTATATTTTCTCCGAGAAGTTTAGTTTTATGCTGTAAGTACATGGATTGAAGGTTTATAATGATATTAAGATGCACGAGATTTCACTGTTAGTTAAATGTGCATTTTTCTGGAGATGTCTTTTTTGTCTAAATGCGTTAATTACGCGTGAACCTGTTCAAATAAATTATTGTACGTGCAAGTGTCTGTATCTTATCTTTTTTTGTGATACCTTTAATTGATACAATTAATTCTCTAATTAAAGCCATGACCAAATTCTCGAACGTGACTGGTTATCACCAACCCGATTTGAGCCGTAATCAAATAGTGTGCGCGTCATGTGCGGGCGCTGTTGCCGGATTTTTCGCCGAGTTCACTGTTCTTTGGGAACATTTAAACGATGGCCAGTTCGTTTCTCAGATGAATTGGTAACAGGATTTCGTGCCGTCTAAGTTTGTCTGTAATCATTCTCAAAAAATAAGTGATCGTCCGATTTTGTCAATCGCTTATACCAGACCGAATTGGACTCCACCCGGTCCTATCTCCATTACTTATTGGTCTTGTTCATGGAAGGGCTCAGTGGATTTAAACAAACCCAATGAGTTTTCTCTGAATCTGTTATGCTCAAATCAGGCTCAATTTCCTTTGCAACTGAAAGTCCTGCTGTGAGATTAAGGGGACCAGGTCCTTTGACTGGAACTGGTGCTGAATTTCAGTTTCCCCATGCCTTGAGATCCGTTTATCACCTGCCGAGGCAATAGACCTCTTCTTCCCTGTCTTCTTCCGTAGACAAATATGTTTTACTCTGCCCCTACTCTACATAGAATGGCCAGAAGATCAAAGGCAATGATTTTCTGACTCGTCAACCACTGTAGCATTGAAACGAATCTTTGAGTTTTTGAGTTGACAAGACAGCGCGCTTTGTTAGTTTACAGTGGTCTTGTGTGGAACCAAACTGGGGAACATCACTTGAATATTTCTCAGTTTTAATTGTGGCACAATCAGACTAATTGTGTGTATGCAGAAATACAGGGCTCAATACGGGATGCGAGGCTAGATGGCAACCTCGTTTTGAGGTTCTCTCGTCATCCCGCTTCTTCAGTGGAACAAGTGGCTCTCGGGAACGAGGTTGGTTAGGTGGGAGTCGCCCAATGTAATTCGTGACTTTACAGCTGAGAAATTACTTTGCGGCAAAATTCACGTTCTTTATTGAAAATATCGAGGAACTCATTATACAACTTCTAATGCAAAAGAACAATCTGTTCCTATACTATCTCCACGTAACCTACTAGGTTCAGCAGTTTCGGCAATAACCACAGTCTCACGTAGTATTTGAAAATAAAATTCTATGCTCAAAGATTTATGTATTCTGGTTCCGGAGAATTCGAACGCCTTCCTTCAAATAAGTCAATGTTTTCCGTGCACGCTTGAGGCCCAATGATCTCGGTTTCTTCCGTGCTAATGACGACTTCTTCTCCTTGTGTTTGAATAACCTCAGCGAGGTAAACATCCACCAAAGTTTTTGGATTCCCTTGAAAGATTTTATTGTCACCGTTGCTACTGCTCTGACAGAAGGCTGAAACATCGTTGTTGACAAAAAGATGTCGTGGAAGATTGTCAAATGAACTTACTGAGTTGTCCATTGTAATTAAAACTTGGTTCTCGTCAACTTGACCATCAACTCTCGCCTCGGCTGATTCAACCCGAGATACGCTAGGATTAGTAAGGGGGTCTGGAGTCAAGACGGTGGTGATATTGATGTCTGGTAGATGCGCCTCTGTCGTCGTTTGAGTTGTAACTTCACCTGTAAACAATGCACAACTGTATTTATATTTCAGGAAAAAATAAACATATCAGTATTAAATGTAAAAATCTCTCATTAACAATCTCTCTGTTCAAGAAGCGTTCTCTTTGTGACTCTATACGATGCTTGATTCTTTTGATTCTCATCAAACTTCTCGACATAATTCGGGTTTGAAGGCACCAAGAATTTAAGTGTCAAACATTTCTGTACACTTTAAAAACGAGAGCAGAATGTTCAAACTCCTCGACAAACTGTTTGATTTCTATGTCAGCCCCCAGAGATAAAACAGGATATTTACTTTTAGAGATATTTCATAACAGTCGTTGCTGTTTTAGAACCTATGTATTCTGCTTTAGGTTATATATTTTAAGTGGGAGACGCGGCAGTGGAAGAACGCTTGGCCTACAGTCCATGCGCTGGACCCTGGGTCGAGAGGTACAGGCTCGAGGACTTGCCGTGTCATTAGAGAAATTTAGCACCACGTTTACGTGAAACGGCAAACGTCAGCTTGCTCTCTCACATTTCACCTAAAATAGCGTGAGCCATGCTACTTTAGCTTCGCGTGAGCTCACGTCATGGTGGATCAGTTAAAGGCGCCTTGATATCGCCATGATAAACACTACCCGACAGCAGTGTTGAAATGGGGCAACAGTTTTCAACAAACCAACCAACCTTCGCCTCCAAATTTATTCACAACACCGCTGGCCTCTACTTCTGTCGTTACTATGTCCAGTTCTCTTACGTCTTCCTCGAGGTGAGGCTGGAGACTAGCATCAAGCATTGATTGGTTCTCGTCGTCAGCTCTGACTACACGGCTTCTTTCGTGTTCCACTGTGGTAACATTCTCTGGTTGCGCTTCACGGAAAAGTTTCTCCTCCATAAGTCGCTTTTCTTTGGCTCGCCTGTTTTGAAACCAGACTTGAACTCTGTCCTCAGGGAGACCTGTTTTTTCCGCCATCTCTTGGCGGAATTTACCATCCGGGTATTTTTGCTCATCGAATCCAGCCTCGAGAAGGAAGAGTTGTTCTTGAGTGAAAACTGTTCTACACCGACGGCGCTTCTCTTTTGGGCGAAAGTCTATGTAAAATATAGTGAACTTGTATTTAGTCGTCGGTATGTCATCAGGGTTATCAAACAAAATAACTAAACCTTTCGTCTTTTAACTTGACCATAAGTGGCACTATTAAAAGATTTTTTTACGATAGTAGATGAAGACGTTTCAATTTTCTGAGTATAGTCAATCTTGTGAGTCATCAGTAATGTCCAGTCTTTTGTCTTTGGAACGTCAGTGGATTCTTTGAACTCTGCACTGAAAGACACTATCTTGCATATCGTTCTTGTTTAGACAGTTGTTAAAGTTCACAAGTCTATATCTTTATCTATCAAATGTAAAGAGATATAAACAGTGAACACCAATGTAAATATACAGTAACATACCAATTTTCGCTGTTAAATACCGAGAGTTATTTGCAAATAGAATTGCTATGGCTTCACTGTGATCTGTAAATTATCTGGGAAATTCTCGCCATTCCCTGAGCAAGACAAATGCAAACCAACCAATGGTGACTTGGTCTCAGTCCGTTTTCCCGCGCAAAGAACTTTCATTGGCCTCTTGAAAAATTGATCTTAATCCTGCTTGGTCAATTTTATTGGTTTTAAGGGCCCTTTACTTCAGTGGCGTGTTATCACAAGCTAACTAGTAGATCGATACACAAGTTATTAAATACCTTCATTTTGATAGAATGCTTGATATGAAGCGCATGGATCAAACATTGGTCTGGAGTAAGGTGGAGGGGCGTAACATTGATAGTAAAATCGAGGCGTTGGATACACCGGCATCTGAGGTAGCACATTAGAATTTTGTGAGCAGATTGTCGGCAGCGGGGTTGACAGAGCTGAGCAGCTTTGTTGCTGTAGAAAACTTGTTGGAGCTTGCTGGGGGTTAAAAACAGACCTTGCCTCTCTCGCCTCAAGACTTGCAGATTCGTCCCACTGTTTTTGATCGTCTTCCCTTGTATTTACTTCTTGCCTTGTTTCTTCCATAACTCTACTTTCAATTTCTTTAATTAAAACGATAAGTAGCTTCAAGATGTGATCTGAAAAACTAAATTTTCGTCACTAATTCGTAATCATCTCATTGTGACGTGATGAAGTGCTCTCTCTCGAGTGCGCGCGCTGCTGTCTAGAGATAACAGGGTTAGAGTTATACATGTGACGTGGGGTACATTTGCTTGCAGAGGTCAAGGAAAGTCTTTTAGACTACAAAATGAAAATCAGATTGCTCCAATTTTCATGCAAATTCATCTCTCTTCTTCTACCTATTCCTTTCGAAACCCTTTATGGTTTAAGAAAGTTATTTAAAAGTGTGTATGGTAATTGATATTCGCGTACGAATAGTACTATATAAATGAGAAAAAAAATTTTCTCGTTTTTCGTGCCAGAATCCTTGTATGACTAGCAAACGGGCCGGTTTGACTCTGGCAGTCTCGCACTCGCGAGGGTCCCACGAGATGCTTTTGAAGCAGCACAATGAGAGCCTCCTTATAGGCTTCTGATCGGCTGTTTGCAATTACTTTGCTTTAAAAACGTACAACACTCAGAGGTAGGAAGAGTGCTCCATGTTGGTAAACCAAAGACATCATGTAAAAAGCTCTTCTGGTTTTTTAGACTTCTAATCTCATACACAAATTAAATCTGGAGTGCCGGCTTTAAGGAAACGTGTGAAGCGTGAGACACCCTGGGTCTCTACTGGTATAAGGACTGCAACTGATTTCGAGAAAATTGCCTGAATTTTTAAGAGATGGCAACTGGGAGCATATTCAACCAATGACCCAACGCAATTCTGATAGCTTTCGAAACTCATTTTAGAATTTCTAGGAATAAAAAAGCCAGACAACTATTCGTCTTGCATCCTACCAGCAGGAAGGCGCTGTTTCCTTTTTGCAGGGCTATGTACAAAGTGCGCACTCGACTTGGGAATTTCAGGTGTATTGCATGGTCACTATTTATTTTCCTTTTTTTTTTAACAACTTTGTCCGTTGATAGCGTATGTGCTCTGTGAGGGTCCTACAATACGACATGCAGCTAGAAAAGGAAGTTGTAAAAGCGTTACAATATAAGTATGCTGAGAAATTTGGCCTTCCTGTTGGTTACTAATCATCAGATGAAAAAGCAAAAAAAAAAAAAAATTTATAAAAAAACCAAGACAAAAAAACGGATTGTTTACAGACGACGCGATGTACTTATTGTTCAAAACTGAAGTCAGATGAAACCTATAAACAAGGCTGAGGATCCTGTGTGAGGACCACTAGCAATTCAAACAGCAAAATTTATGGTCATGTTAAAAAAAAAGATCTAAAATGATTTGGCTCACTACACTAGTCTCGGGAAGATTCTTGCACAGTTTATGAAGTTTAGTGCGTAACTTTGCCTCTGTAACTAGAGATAAAGACGTCATATGCACCTGTAAACTGCCTTAGGTAAAAAACTTGGGTGCTTCATTACCCATCATGCAGCGCTGGTATACATTATTTTCTGTTGTTGAGTTAAGCACTTCCGGTTCAGCTGCAACGGTTGGAAACCCAACCCACGCTTAGTCACTAGTTCGAGATATTCCTCATCCCACAAACTAATCCATTTTACACTTTCAGCCCTAGTCCTGAATAAGATTAAAAAGCCCCTTCTTTTAGAGGAATAACGACTGAATAGATCATATCATAGACAATGAACAGTCTTTAGAGCCTGTGTTTTTAAAACAAACGAAAGAAAAAAAAAGAATGAAAAATAAGCATGAAAAATCTGCATCCAAGTTCTTATTGTTTATATTGTACCTGCTGTATAATTTGGCGGAAAATATTCTTTTTGTTTCCGAACAGCGTAGTTTTAATTGTCTTGAAAGCTAGGTGTATTGCTAGAAAATTCTGAAAAAAATTATTATTATTTGTTCTTTTGCAGGAGAGACCATCTGTGCGGCCATGACGTCACCATCCACGAGTTCTCGTTATGTACATTGGCTGTTTCTCTGCTAGCTCCGTAGAACGCAAGTGAGCTACAAAACACGAGATTTGTTTTGAATTCCGCCGGTCTGTCACATACTTTTTATTTTTTCTATATTTCTGGGGACTTGTTTAACGCTTTTTGAAATTTTTCTGGATTTACTCCGTAATATCGTCTGTTTGCGTCGACCGCCCAGCGAATAAACAAAACGCAAAATTGCAACTCAAGGTTAATTTAGATCGCCTTAGTACGGTGCAGCTGTTTGATCGGAAACCGACTTGTTCCCGACAGTTGCCGAAGATTTCCGATCTTACCCAGGCAATTGGTTAACGAGGTCACATGGCGAAAGTAATGGTCGGGGATTGGACCTCTATACATGACGAGGCGACCCAGCAAATTTTGTTCCCATAACAGCAACAGCTAGCAGCGAACAAGGTTGAAGCTTTCAAAAAGCTGTCGCGATTGTGCCGAGTGTTAAGAGAAATCAGCTCGTAGAAGGGTTGATTCGCAAGATCCAACACCGGCCATGGATTGTGTGAACTTTGCGGGATAAGCGTATTTTTTACGCCAACACACATGCTTCTTCGAACGACATCGGCAATTGACGATTTTGGTTCGGGGACCTTGAATTGCATGTGGGAAGGCGAATAATTCTAATATCTTCTCCTTATTGAGTTGCTTGTGGAAGTTTGGTTACAAATTGTGGGCGCATTGACTGTGAATGTTTCTCCTTTTAAGCCCTATAAATGGGCTGTGCTCCTAGCATTCACGTCTCACAATCTGGAGTATTTTATTGTAGAGACGAAATTCGCGAAGGATCAAGCCCTAGACCAAGAGCCTCTTCTCCTAGTGAAATTGTCGGCCATATTCGTTCAAGCTCGGACTCTGGGTCGCATATTTCGACGTCGTCTTCTTCTCGAAATCGTGGAAATAACAAAAAGGAACAAAACTCTCATCGAGGTAGTTCTATTGAAGCAGAAACACAAACTTACGACCCAAGGAGTAGTATGGATCACCCCAAGGTAAAGAGTGTTATTTTCCCGTTTGCGATTGTCGCCGACTGAGTTTAGATTAAAAGGTGTTCCGAGTACATTTTCTACAGAATTTGTGCCGTGTTTCCTTTGCAATTAGCTGATATTTTCTTTATGGATGTCTTTTTACAGAATGAAAGAAAGGAAATTTCACTTGGACCAATGAAGTTATATCAAGCTCAAATGCAGGTAGGATTTGTCGTTCGTCTTTTCTTGGTTAAAACACACAAAAGCTGTCTTTGACTTGTGGGCGAAAGAAAGTTAGAGATCATGTAGTACAGTTGCTCTCAAAGTTACCCTTCTTTCACCGACGTGGCCAATCCTTGGCCTCTTTACGACTTTTTAAGCCGATCAAACTCGTCAAACTTCGACCTGGAATAGGGTGTTGTACAGTATTTCTGTATAGGGCCTTTACAGGTCCACTTTGTTTCATTCGGAACGAAGCCATCCTAGCGCTTCGCGTCAACAACATCAGAGCATTTTTCCTCCACTCAGATGCGAAACTTTCGCAATTTAAAGTTACTAGACTTTTAATCTAGGTAATTTTTCACATCGTGGTAACCCCTGCGTTATCTTTACCGTCAAGAAGGAGAAATCCTCACCTATATTTCCCCGGTTTTTTTCCACGTCAAGCGCGTAAAAAGATTGGTCTGTTTTTTGTTTACAATAGCTCTCGTGTGAAAGGTCTGCGGCCTCCCTTTGCCTAATATTTTTGCTTGGCTTTTAAATGTGGTCTTCGCTCGTGATACCAGGAAGTCTTGCCAATCTGCTATTGCAAAACTTTGTTTTTTCACAAGAAAAGAGTAGGATCAAATCTTCTTTGAAAATTATAACGGATAGTACGTGAAAGTTCTCATTTTGATTCTTCCGAAAGAACCAAGATTTTCTGTTGCTTTTTGCCGGTATTTCGGCTTAACGCGCTTTAAAAGTCAGAGTTTCAGTTGAATATATGTTTTTAAACTTTAATCTTTTTTATGACCTCGAGTTGACGGGTTTGATGGCGAGTTTTTGTGGTGGTCGTTTTCCAAATCTCTCATAACAGTCTCGAGCGAAGCGTAGATGATAACATTTGCTGTCGAGGAAAAAACCTTTGGCCTATTGTAAACATCAGAAACGGGAGCTATCGCTGCTGTTAAGAAGGACGGGTTTCTGAAGTCGTTTGATGTTACCTTTTCTCGATGCCAGAGTTTTTATCATGACCTTGCTTAAATGATGACAACGAATCTTGTACTAGTTTTTGGAAAAACTCGATTCGCAGACGAGGCAAGGTTGAATTAATTTCAAATCCTTACTCGCCTACAGATTCACTTTTTGATGTAAATTTCGTCGCGTTTGAAACTGACATCAGAAAGAGAAACTTTTAACCTGTGCATTATGTCATAGTATTGAGTCAGATACACACTAAAAGGTCACCAGGCTGAAGTCTATCTGGTGGTGGCTTTTTCGAGAACTCATGTGAACCCTTGTGCATAGCTACTTGCAAACATTTAATAATAAACACATAACTGATTCATTGGTCTTCGGTGTAAGACACAATTTTTTTTATTAAAACCACCTTGGACAGCAGTTTTGTTTTGCCTTGTTTGTTTTTTTTTTGCATGTATTTGTGTGTGTGTTTTTTTTTGTGTGTGTGGAAATCAAGTTATCTGTCTATATGCAAGAGTAAGGCTCTCTAGATCCCTTCTGATAGATCTTGGGAAAATATAGCTGCAACTGCCTTATCAGTATAGTGAAATAGGTCAGTAATCTGATCTCGCTGGGCCTGAAAGTCTTTTTCAGCACATGATGTGTGGACATAAATGTTTGGTCTTTTCATTTTTGCTTCCTTTTTCCTTGAAACAAAAACTAAAATACAGATGTATTGTATTGTTTGGGAGTAGTGAAAGAAGGTCAGAAAGAGAAAATTTTTAAAATGGCTGGTTTTGATTTTGAATGACTAGTTGGAAGGTCTTTAGGGGAAAAGTAGGCTTTTTTGCCTCTCAGACATTTGGCTGACAAGAATTTACATGCTTAGATTAGTGTCGGTTGATTTACTGGTTGCCATAGTTGTTGGTGGGATGATAAATGTAGTGATCATATTTGATGATTGTAACATCTTGAATGTCCCAGTGCAGAGTTGATTGGGCATTTTTAAGTTGCACAATTTGGATTTTTCTTTTGATGTAATCAGGGTTTGCAGCATATGAAACAATGTTTGTTGGTGCTGTTCAATACACTGGTTTCATGCTGGCTTGCTTGACTTTGCAGTCACAATGTACAATTTTTTGTCAGAAATTTGGAAAGTTTTGAATCTACTTTTCTGGCTTGGTTGGATTGTTTGTGTTAGACATTCTGCTAGAGGTCAGGTATCAAATTCATTTAGTCTGTTACCAGGGTTAATTGTAATGTTGTTATTTTATTTTTGCAACCATGTTATTTTCTCTATTTTTTTTTATTGTAATGAACTCATCAATAGTTTCCCAATTTTTCTAAGGATGATAAGCCTTGCTTGTTAACAAGATACCAGTAGCAAGTTACAAGCATTTTGTAGTTTATGAGTTATGCAAGGGGGATTTCTTAACCATTGTGTGTGTCACCAAACTAAGGGGTTGGTCCGCTTGTGTGAATGCTTGTAACTGGATTTAAATTCTTTTCCAAAAATAAATTTAACCAGCTTAATCAGGTTTGGAGGCAAATTTCAGATTGAATTTTGTTCATAGCCGATATTTGGTTGAAACATTTGGGTACATGCACTAAACCAAGGAAGTAAGATTTCTGTAAGATATTGTATACAATTTTCTCTCATTTAACTCTCTTGTGGGCATGCAAGCATTGTCCAACTTTTTTCTGGCTCTCAATATCCAAATCTGTTTGCATGTTTGTCCAGTTGTTGTTTACTGCACAGCCCACCACATGTCCCTAAAACATACTTTGATTGTTGGTCAGTTTGAATTTAGAGATTATCTAAAAGAGTTCCCTTCAAGCAGGGTCTTAATTTTATCTTTGAAGAATGAATATTCCCCATTAATTTTACTTCAGAAAAGAAATGTTTATGTAGTTTCGATGTCTGTAGTGCTCTTCGATGTGTTGTTACTTTTTTTGCAATACTTACTCCTGCAAGCATCAAACAAGAACTGTGTGTATGTGTGTAACAAAAATTTGTCTTAACTGTACTTTTTTGTAGTGATTAACTTAGATATAGTCAATTCACTTTACCCAGCCTATTTTTGTATTGTCCATTAAAGGGACACGGTCATGGTCTGCACATGCTCGTGTAGCTGATCGAAACTTGAAAAAGTCATCCTGACTTCTTCAAGTTGCATTCACAAATTGAAAATGGCGTCTAGCGGACGATCCGGACATGGCAGTAAATGCATTAACTCAGGGCAGAAACGAAAGGTTGAAGACAGAGGGGAATACAAGAAAGCGTGGCTGAGGAACCATAAGTGTATTTATGTGGAAGAAAAGACATTTAAGTTGTGGCTGCGGGCAAAATTTGATGCAGGTTATGAGTCATTCAGCGACAGCGATTTTACTGATAGGAAAATAAAATAATGCCAGATATCACAGACATTTGTAGCATTTGCGAGGCAGATGTTTATTCTACTACACATTATAATTGGAATACAGGTAAGCCTCAGGCAAACTCTACGGCTCTCATGAATGTAGGCAGATGGTGACTGCTTGTTCAAATCCTGAAGAAAGGGGATACACAAATTATTTTGTATGCTTTTTGGACATTCGAGCCACAAAAGAAGTGAAAGTTTACAACTTTATATGCGTATATTCAACTTTATATGCATACCCTGTTTCTGCAAGATTTATTGCTTGTTCAATTCCAGAAATACATTCATCTGTACACAGCATGTTTCTCCCTTTGCACGGGCACCCACGAGAACTATTTTCTTTGCGCTTCATCGTACAATTACTTTTACATTTACAAAAGATCACCGAAGGTTCCTCAGTAAAAGAAATTCACTTTCACAAGCATTTGCTTTGGATAAACTTGATTTAAATGCAAAATATATGCAGAATTCTTCAACTCACTGATATTTCCATAATGGCTGTCGAGCTTGACAAGTCTCGGAGAGAGTGTATGCTACTGCACATGTCAACCCGTGACAGTGTCCCTTTAACTTCTGTGGTTTATTAGTAAATTATATTTATGATCCTAAATTGTCAACAGAAGAACCAACTTAGAAGTTTGTAAGAAATTACTCTGAAAAATTTAAGGATTGCATGTTAGAGTGTTTTGTGATTTCATTTATATTGTTACAGAATGTTGAAATACCTTTTGATGAGTGCATTGTTTATTCTAAACTTAGTTTTATGGAGAAACTACTCATCTTATTTGGAATAAATTGAAATTGTTGTTTCTTCTGTGCTATATTTTATTGGAAGATTCTTCTGAAAAGTGTTGTCAGAAACCACTTTCTTTACAGCAAGTACAGTATTTTGACAACGTACACAAGATCATGTAAACCTCAAAGTATTGTTACTTCCTGTTTGATTTGTTCTAGATCATGCTGGTGTTTTCAAAGGAAGATGCTCAGACTGACAGCTTTCTTCATGCAGCTGAAAGAGGTGGATATTTATGTCAAATTTGTAAAACATCTGAAGAGGCCATGGAACAGTACATGAACATTCAGCCAGAGGTGAGTAGGTATCACCAACTTGATTATGTCAGCCCCACAATGGTATGATTAAGTTTACTTACTTCCTAACACTTGGAAGGGATCAGTATGGGATATTCCCTAACAGTATCCTGTACATTATCACTCAGAAAGGTGTAAAGAATTGAAACATTATTAACCCTTAGCTCCTGAGATCTGATTAATATTCCCCTCCAGCTGCTACACTTTTCCCAGTTGTTACAAGAATCTGGAGTTAGATCAAAGTAGCAACTTCTACCTGATAAGTTTGAGTATTTTCATTACCTGTTTGCTTGATAATGTATGGATATTATATAGAGAGATCTCTTGTAAATCACCTCTGGGAGTTAGCATAAACCCGTGAAAACACTTCAATGAAATTCTTTGCAATTTCAAATTTTAAAATATTATCCAACACCTTCCCTGAGTCTTTGCAATCCTTTTGCATGTTCGACATACGATGTTAGAAAGTGAATGATATCACATTAGTTTGATTTTCTTCCTTCTCAAAATGTCTAAAACTTTAGCAAGTTCTACGCATCTTAACTCCAAGTTTATAGAACCCTCCATCCGAAAAAACTTTTCATTTAGGTTTCTTCCTTCCCAAAGAATCAAACACTTGAAATGGTTAGTAAAATGTGTTAGGTATGAGCAAACTGTTCATGGGAAGAATTTAGTGGTGAGCTGTAATGAGAGATGTGGTTTTAAACCCTCTGTGCCTTAACACCAGTGTGCATATTCTTCCTACTGTCCTCTATGTAATTCTTAAGGTGCTGATTGAGGAGAATTTGTTCAAAAATCAAGAGCTTTTTTTCAGTTGGTGATCATTGGGTGATATAGTAAAGAGGAATTATTTGCTAGTATCTCTCAGCAGTGAAAATAGTATGAGCAATGGACTTTAAATTTAAGGGATTTGCATCTTAGTCATGCCCAGGGTAGTTGTGTGCTTGATTTTAGATTTGATCACATCACTGTGCCTCTTGCTGTGCAAGAGTATGAGTTGTTAAGGAAACTGGATAGAATTGTGGAGTGGAGGTATCCTGTTAATTGTGTCAGTGGATCCTGTGGCTGTGGCCCTGTGGGGTGGCAGCAGGATTTCCATATGTCTCTGTTGAAAGCGGATTTCTTACTTTCCTTTTACGGTTTGGAATTTTGCCTCCTGTCAGCTATTGTCCCAATTACTGTTGTTGAAAGAGTTGGACCTGATGGCCATTTTTTGTAATACACATCTGGTCTGTGTCCCAAAGGAGGCAATAAAGGAAAATGTGACACAATCAAACCATCCATCAAAGATTATGTCCTCTTTGTATAATCTGAAATTAATTTCACAACTAACCTCAAAAGTAAAGTATTGATACGCTATGAAATTTATCAAGAAGTAGATTTGGAGAGAAAAATTAAAGTACTTGTTTGCATTGTTAATAACTTTGATCTACTACAAGCTTGGCCATGTTTGATTGTATAGTATCTTGAATGTATTTCTTAATGCTGAGAGGACCCTGGTAACAAAAGCATAAAAGGAAGTGGCATTCATGAGCTTGCCTAAAAGTCAACTTCATAAGTCTTTGAGTCAAAAGAGTCAAAAAGGTAGTGAACTTACATTCACAATGTACATGTACTTGAGCTTTGATGGTAAAGACAATGAACTTTTAAGTTGGTGGTATTTCTGAGAATTGTGGTACTTGGTAATAATTATCATTACTTAACTCTTTGACCCCTAACAGTGACAAGCACCAAATTTATCCTTATGGTATCCCCCCACAATCATGCAGTAAGGGAAATGATCACCAACTAAAGAAGCTCTTGATCATTAAATTCTCTCTGTCAGCACCTTAGGAAAATGTTTAGGGAACAGCAAGGAGAATATACATACTGATACAAGGGGATAAAGGGTTCACTTCAAACTGTATTTTGTTAATGGTTGAAATGTAGACTATGTTTTGCTGTTCTGTTAACAAATGCTCTGCAGATGGACCCATTTGTTTTGATTTTGGACTCATCATTTTCATGGAATAAGTCCTTGGGGCTCACTCATGACAATTTTGAACAGAATTGCTGATTCACACACCGCTGTAATTTTATCTTGGAATATTCCAAGCATAAGATCATCACCTGGTTGTATTTATTTCAATGTCAGGTGATATTTATTGACATGAGGGGAAATTCTGTCATTGATGGAGAAACACTTTGCAGGTAATATAACCTTAACTAGTTCCTGTTAGGAAGTCTTGTTTTGATTGGACTTTTCAATTATCTGATCTTTTTCTCTGTTCCTGTTTTTTGTTTTTTTTTGTTACCATGATTATTAATGAGCTTTGATCTTCAAAACTTTGAGAGGTTAAAAAATTCAGAGAGATGTTTAAAGTCAGGAAAAATGCATTTAAAACAGTGCATTACCTCCTCCACTTTCAAAAGACTGAGTGCTTGGAGACGAAAAGCATTCTGACACATTCAGCTGAATTTTGATTGGTTTGCCACTGAGGGAATGTCATGCTTGATGAGTTTGATGAGCATGGGTTCTGAATACACGCAAACAATCATAACTCAAAATGACAACATGTCTATGAAGCAAAAGCAATCTGTTCTCTCCGTGAAGGATAAACAAATAATTATTTCACGTTTAGATAAAGGAGAAAAAGGAACAAATTTAGCTCTTGAATTTGGCATCAGCAAGCAACAGATCTCTCATATACACAAGAACAAGGTTAAAATTCTGAAATTCACCAACAACATTTAGACAAGTGAAGGATTGAGGCGAAAGTCACTGAAGCTTGCATGAACACGGGTATAGGTCCAATTCATACATGTACATGTATTTGAAGTCATTGAAGCAAACTTTTAGAACTAAGAATGTGTTATCTTTATTTCTTTTGTTGACATTATTGTCTCGTAATATTCATATTTTTGATTATCCGGGCTCACAATTATCTGGACTGTTTACCCAAGTCTCAACAAGTCCAAATAATCAAGGTTCAACTGTAGTTGTTGCCTTTTGTTTCCTGGGTAAACAACTATGTGTATATTTTGACATGTCTCTGTTCAATTAGTTGCACTCAGAATTCTTTCATAAAGGTTTTGAGGCCAAAGAGAAATAAAAATGACACTGGTCCAACATTTTTGAACTTCAAAAGTGACTGAAAATGACAATTAACAGATGATTTTTTTTGTACAATTGCTCAACAAACTGGTAGTGATGCACTTTGTTTTTTTCTTGGAAACAAGGAGAAAGAAGAAAAACAATTTTCATGCTTTTAAGTTAAAGAAAACATAATAGAACAAACTTTGGAAAATTGAGACAAAAAAATTATTTAGACACATGATATGCACACACTTAAACTGTGGCAGGGGTTTCAATAAAAGCCAGTTACTGGAGATGTACCACTTCCTGAGGCCTCTCAATGCTGTTTGTTTATTCAACAGGCGGCTCTTGTGTTCTGGTTTCACCTTACCACCCTTTTTTGGGTGCAGCTGGCTACTACACCATTGGCAGCCACTTAAGGAAAAAAATTATTGAAACCCTTGCCAGGGACTTAAATAGTCTATCCTCTTTCACCTTCTCTTGCTTTGTTTAGGGTAAGATTGTTGCCCTTTATACTAAATAGGTACTTTTTCACTTTTTAGGATAATAAGAGCTAAAGGCCCACGAGAGAATTCTATAATTATTGCTGTGGTTAAAGGAAGGTAAGGGACTTGTGTATTATGTACAAGTTACATCTGTTCTCCACACTTAGGAGAAAACTAAGACTGGAGTTTTAATCCACCATCCCATGAATTCTGTGTTCTCAAATCGACGAGAAAGGGAGTTGTCAGACTCGCTTTTTTTTTCCACTTTCTGTGAAAAGATGAAACTGATCTTGAAATTGTTGCTGCTTGTGTTAAACATCAATTTCATTTTCAATATTCCAAGTTTTATGATATTTCTAAAAGAGAATTTTTTATTTTAGTCCAACATTGCTATACCATGGCCACAAAAGCTATGGCATTGAAAGCTGGCTTTGGTTACTTAGGAATTGCGTTGCTATTAAATCTCTAATGTAGATAAAAGATGTGATCCCATGAAAACTGTGGGGTTGTTGATTTCAACATAGAACTTTCTTTGTTTCTCTGGTTACAGTGCTTATATTATCCAAAAGTTATTAGGAAGTAAAAGCTATTCTTTGGAATTGACCACTTTGCCAATGTTGTGCTTTTTTTTATTTCCGTTGAAAGAAAAGATCATCCTCCTTCCTTGATTAATTAAACATTCACGAGAATCCTTTTAAGCTAACAAAGAAGTGTTATTGAATACATTTAGGTGAATGGAATATTGCATTTATTTAATGGGGTTAAATGTATCTACGAGTTTCTAACAGAGTTCTCTAAAATTCAACATATGTATTAGACTTGAGTCAAATTAGTCGTCTATTTACACAAAGGAATTGAAAAATTGTTATTGCATGACTTCGTCAAATTGGTCTGCAGTGAAAATCTCATATATGCATGGCATTATCTTAGGAAATCATTTGAGAGCAGAGAAAGCATTTGTACATCTTAAATCTGTTTACTGTAATCTTCTTGTCAACTATGCATGGTATGGAATGTTTATGAACCTGCCTAAAGTGGTTATTGTGTGTTCAAGTAATCACCTCCCAGAAGATACTTTAGGGTAATCACCCAATGACATGTGTATGTTTTATTCGTCTGACTAAACTGATCATGACTTTTTTGAATTTATATCATCATAAAGGAAATCAAAATTTAATGACTACAAGCGAGAAAAGGTTTCTCCTGTGTAGTTAAGATGTACACACTCTTGACAGTGATACCTCTATCACCCACTGGTGTGCCTGTCTGCCTGAAAGCTGCTTAATCATCTTTGTCTGTGTTTTCCACTAAGCTATTTCGACCTCTTCTCCTTCCGGACAACCTGTGCTCTTTGCTAAACCGGGTTTTGGTTTCTTTGGCAATTTTATTCAATCTCATCTCCTTTCGTTTATTTAAATATTTTTTGCAAGTAAGACAAATGACATGCGCTGTTACTTGTTTTCACAAACAAAGATAATTAACTTTATTGTAAATTTAATGCCTCTCCAAATTTGCTTGCTCCATTTAAGACATTCATTGTAAATAAATGGTAAGATGTTAATCACTAACTACACTCTATTGCCATTTCTAGTAAAATGAAATCCCACTGTCTTCGCAAAATTTTCACATGTGGCCTCAGGAGGGATCGCAGGTCTGGTTACTCTCACTTGCGTGCAACTTTCAAATAAGACTCTCCTTTGCAAGTTACATGTGTCTATAGATTTGCTCTTTAATTGCAATCCTAACTCTAAATTGTGCATTCTGCCAAGCCATTACACAATAAGTTTTTGAAATTAAAAAAAAAGGTTATGACTAGATGAGCCATTGTGCTTGTGAAGGAAAGTTTTCAAGGAGAAGGTGGCAGCAAAGTGCAGTCAGATATCTTTGAATTTTGTACAGTGAAGTTTATAACAGTGTTATGTAGTGTTCTGTGTTGATAATTATGCACTGTAATGTTAAGCAGCTTTCACTAAAGACAGTAGTCACACCAGTTTCTTGTCGAATATTCTGCACTAACATTTTAATTTTGTTTATCCATTTGCTCCAAGGATCAAAAGCCAAATTCTCTCAAGTGATGATTAATCATTTCTTAATTTGTCATAAAATCTAAACAAAATCCCATCAGTGACTGTTTCCTAGTTCTTGTTACCTGTCTGCTCAGAATGTTGTTCAAATTTGTAGCAAGAGTTCACTTAGTGATCACACTTTGGATCAAAGGGTAAAGAGTAACATTTTGTTCATTTAGGTGAAGCTGTTTAATTTCCTTTACCATGAGCCTGAAACATCAATTTAAAGTACTTTTCAAATGACTAGTCTTGTTAAATGTTTTCTAAGCGTTTGAAGTGTTGTGATGCACTTTCTCTGGTATTGCATATTATATTAATTCTAACTCAACAGAAGTCATGAAGAATCGAAGTAGACATACCCATATCAGTTCTGACTGACTTCTAACATGTTTCCATTTTAGCCCACGAAGCGATGAACCATTGATGCTTCCACTGCTAAAAGCAGGATTTGACCGGGTAAGAATGCTCTCTTTCATTTTGAAAATTGTAAATTGTGTCCTGAAGTACAGATATGCTGTTTTGGAGGCTCTTTTAGCCCCTCCTTTCTTGAGAACAGTAAACTCAATCCTTTGACCACTGCGAGTGACTAGCATCTAATTTCCCCTTACAATATTGCCCCTAAATCAAACATTAAGGTCACAAGACTAGAGAAAATGATCAACTAAAGCAACTCTTGATCGCTTAATTCTCTTTTTTATCAGCGTAGGAAATGTCTAAAGAACAGTGTGGGGAATATGTCTTCTGATGTAAGGTTGTAGAGGGTTAAAGGGAGTCTTGTGCACATCTCTGTATTTGTCATTGAAAGAATGTTGTTTCCCAAAAATAAAATCCATGACAAGAATTCACTTTTCCTTTCTAGCGGTTTGTTGAAAATGCCAATGTTGGGGCTTGTCATAATGAGTTGCTGATGTTGGAACATGGAGAAGTTCAGTCAATGTTTAAATTAAGAGCAACAAGCTGTCTTTTTAGTGCAATCGAGCACTCCACTGATGCTGTGGAGATTGCCAGCGCAGACTCTGACAAGCCAGAGTTACAGGTAGAGGTACAAGAAAAAATTTCTCTTTTTTTATATAATGTGTAGAGGAATGCACCCATGTGTGTTTCTTGTATAAGCATTCCATTGATGGGAAGAAAATCTTGAAACAGTAGTCTGCAATGGACAATTATGAAATATTTAAGTCTGTATGATGCACCATTTAAAATTTGTCATTTTTTGGGTAAAAAATTCTGGTTAGTTTCCACACAACATCCACTGAACTGTCTCCAGGGTCATATCTGTGCCTTATATCTGTTGACAACCAATGCAACTGGTTTCATAGTATACAAGTTATTTATTTGTCTTAGTTATACCATTGTAAACTATATATATCTTATTGGATGCTTTGTTGTGTAGTATTGCTGAGAATTTTTATGAGTAAAATGATGAGTAAAAATACTCAGCGATATGACACACCAAAACATATTATAAGTTATTTATTATCCAACATGGCAAATTGTTATTTCAGTGTGGGCAAATTTTGCAGATATTTATTTACGGGGAGTGTTTGACTGAAGTATGTGAAGCAGAATGGTATTTTTTTAATGAATTATGAAATTTCATTGTCATCTAACTGCTTTTCTTTGTTTTATTTATCCAATAAACTTGGATCAACATTTGCCAGCCATTCTGACTCTTCGTTGTCAGAAAAATACTTTGAATTGTCCACCATTTTTTTTTTGTAACTTCAATCCAATTCATCACTTGTGTGATGTGAGGAAACCTGTCTAACTGGTTGTCTGGAGTACAAATGCTGCCTGATATCTGTACTCGTCTTGGGCATTATTTGTACTCTACAGAGTGTTGGATAATAAAAGGAGGTATTTATGTCAGTTGTAAGAATTTTTCTCTGGCATATTTTCAGTACTTCAACCCTGCCTTTGAGAAGATGTCTGAAGCTGTCGGGCATCCCCAGAACTTCATGATGAACAGTGAGCATCAAAAACCCGTAAGTAACAAATTGGATTAAGGTCTCTAAACATTGAAGAAATCATTTGCATTTTCAGAAAGAAAATGGAATGATGCCAAAACAGAACCTATAAGTAGTGGGTGATTTTCAGCCCAGGGAACACTGGAATAGGGCAAATATGAAATTTTGGCTGCTTTATTAGGATTAACCTTTTCATTCCCAAGATCTCATTCGTAATTCTCCTTAACTGTCTGCCATACAATTCTTATGATGTTAGTTTGGAGAATTTGCTGTGGGATTAACTAATACAGTAACTGTAATCCCTTAATTTAATAATTTTCTTTATTACCATTTCTTGTCTGCTTGATATTGTATTGATATTGTAAGGAGAATTTCTGTCTTGGCCACCCATGAGATTCAAAAGGCTATTTACATTTTTAAATGATGTTACTGTTATTTCAGGAGTTATATGAATCAATACATGCACACATAAAGAAAGGGAAGGTAAGCTGTTGTCTTTTTTCCAGTATTTAGCTTTGTGAAAATTCTTATTATCATCTGCAATCATGCTTTTCTTCCTGTAAGCCTCTCAAGTGATGAGAGGTTTTTTCGTTTCCTCCTCTTCTGTTTATTTTTCACTTTCCAAGGCTGCTTTTCAAAATTATAATTTATAAAAAAAACAACAACAACAACATTGTTGGAGGCTGAAGCACAGTTATCTCCACAATCATTGTTATTGTTTTTGGTCTTTATTTCTCCTCTTGTGCTGCTCTTTCCAGTAAAATCATTTCGTTATTCTTTTAGTCAGTGTTTGTGATGACCTTTAGTGAAGAGGAAATGTTTTTTTCTTTTATGTTATTGTTGAAATTTTGATCAGTGATAAATTGTGCATGGCATAGAGTTTGTTTGCAGATCTTAGATCTAAGTGCTAATACAATGTTATCTTCTAATCTGTTTCCAGCCATGGGAGGGAAAAGTAGTCGGGAAAAGAAGAAATGGAGATAGTTTCTTACAAAATGTGCATATCATTCCTATCATTGGCAAAGGAGGGTAAGTCTTTGATGTGAAAAGCTGTAAGAATAAAATCTTTTGCTTAGTTGTTTGCATCATCAGGTGTTAATGCTTAGTTTACACTTCCTCTATAAAATCTCAGCATGAACGCTCTACACTGTCTTCTCTATATATCTTTCAATTTTTTTCCTTGAGAATCTGGTTAAAAATCAATATTCATGAGTTGATTTTTGTTTGTCTTCTCGTCACCCTTCTCCTTGACAATGTATAAATATTTGAAGGAGAAATTCATTTTTTGGTCACTCTTCCCTTAAGAACAGAATGCTTAACATGGTTTTGCTGGGGAAAATTAATAAGAAATTGAATATTTTGTTAGACACCTTTTTTTCCACTGTGCACAAATAAACCATTTGTATGTAAGTTCAGATTGAGCTTTCATTTGGAGCTTTTTGTATCAAACTGAAATAAGTAGCTCTGCTTTTTTCTGCAGTGGTATCATTTTAGGAAAATGTTTTCTGGTTAGTTCTTTCCAATTCTGCTATCATAATTATAATACAGAACTGGATTACAAAGGCGTGTTTTAGTAGAGTGGGATACCACAGGGAACTAGCCTGTGGTCAACTTGAGAGCCTTCAGGCACATGGCAGAGCACAGGTGTGGATTAAAGAGAGAAGGGTTTAGTAATTGTGACATTCTTATGGTGCTTGTCTTTCACTTGTAGAAAAGTCGCTCACCATGTGACAGTGAAGAGAGAAATCACACAAGCCAATCCCTTAAATCAAGTCAACATGAATATGGAGGTTAATATGCATATGGAATCAGTAAGTGTAACGAAGTGTATTATTTGTCACAAATGTATCAGTCATTCACACGAGAGGGGTGTTGAACTTTTGTCTCTGAAACCAGCTAAGTACATTTTTTTTGTTTGTTTTTTTTTGCCCATAACCTCCAACCTGTCTGGTTAATGTAACCTACCAATATTTCGAATGACCCACCAGGCTCAGGCTTCCCATTCATTCTAACATGGCAGTGTAACTAGGGTGGGGACTACAGTACTGTAGTTTGCCAGACATATGGTAGTGCAAAAATATGTTGTATATGGTTTTGTTTGCCTTTAAAGCTTAAGTTTTTTTTTTTTTTTAATTAAGTCTGATATAAATTTGATGTCTGTGCTCTCTTTGTAGCCAACTACAGCCAGTGGTGTAACCGAACAAGTTCAAATTAACACCTTAAATGGTTAGTGGTAATGCTGCCTTTGCTAAAAGAGTAACCTAAAAGTTTTGAAAATTGCTTTTCTTTGTGTTAAAACTGGACTACTGATTCTGTAATTTTGAACCTTACTTCCCTTTCTACAAGACAAATTTATGTTGGCAGCGTTAATGTTTCCAAACTCTTTCTATGTCCAGTTTGCGATACTGTGCAGAAGGATTTCCACACTAATGCTTGTTTCATATTTTGGACAAATAATTAGGCCAACCACAGTATGATGTAATAATGTAATTACCACAGAAATAACAACTACACCACCCAGACTCCAGATATCTCGTATACAATTTTGTTTTAGAGACAAGATGTTTTTCAAGTGCTACTGTAATTTTATTTATAGGAGGTATTCTTAGAAGACATTCGACAACAACAACGACCAAAATAGAGGCACCCATTACAAAAGTGAGTCATATTCTGAGGTTTTCCCTTTATTTTTTCATGAAAGTATGTAAGGCTGGAAATACATTCATATTTTTTCAATGATTTGGCAATATTTCAGCTGGTTAGGGCCTATCTAAAGAGAGGATTCCTTTGATATTACAAGCTACCTCTATCTACTATGTATTTTGTTTTTTTGGTCTTTCAGGTCATAAACATGCTGTCTGCAGCGCAAGAAAATAGTCCCATGTCGGTAGTACAAGCACTGGATAGAGTGCTGGTGAGATTTTTTTTACTTTTTTTTTTTCAGCCTCAAAGCGTTATTAGTGTTTCTCCCCTCTAACTGACATTCTTTTATAATCCGGTTAAGATAATTTGGCGTTAAATCAAGATTGATCTCTTGCTGAGACACTATTTTATTCTCATAACTTGTTTGCTGGCTTATGTCTTGCGATAGCTAGGACAAAAGCCCATTTTCGAATTACCCTTGGTCTTATTTTTAAAACGAGGCCTGGTGCTCAACTATTCTTGTGAAAATGAGTTTAATTTGCATGTGAATGAAAACTTATAATCATATGAAAGGATGAGCACCAGGACTCGTTTTGAAAATGAGGCCAAGGGTAATTCGGAAATGGGCTATTGAAATGTTACGCAGTCCCGGGGGTTAAAGGAGTGGAACCTTAGAACGTCTGTTGGAGACAGAGCCACACCCTAAAGCAGTTTTGTTTGATGTCTGGGTGTATGCTGGATTTGGGGTACACAGTGCCGTCGCAAAATAAAAAAATAACGTTATTTTACGATTACTTTGAAGAGAAAACTTGGGAGAAATGCCACTCAGAGCGTTTTTGTTTTGTTAGGAAATTCTGCGGACAGCGGAATTATATTCCCCTTTCACCACAACTGAAGAAGACGCTATGACTAATGAACTGGTCGGAGGTCTCATGAGCAATGTGAGTTTTATTCATTCAATTTACTCCTTTATTAATCAGATGTTTTCCACAGTTTTTTACGTTTTTTCTTCAATAGTTATGACAGGTCTGTCGAACCCGTTACTTGATGTTTAATTTTGTCAGGGATTTCACTGGTTTTGCTTTACTTTTCTTTGTTAGTGATCCAGAATTCCCGTAATCTTATTCAAGTAGATGCAAAACTTAGTGCCACTATGATCAAAATTTCGCATTGCCTTTACTTTTCACTTCTGGAAACTAGAAGTAAGAAACACTTACCATGCCAAATTTAATCGCAAAATTCTCACGGGAAGTATAATTATTTCAACCTTGTTTTTCGTTTTTGGTCGCCCGCCATTACTCAATTCAAAAATGGCCGAGTGTGGCAAAAAGAGTTGGCACTAGTTGGAGCCTTTCGGAAATGACGTCATATGCGCAGCTCGACCTAAAAAATGTGGCTAAATTTGTATGCCATTTGGAAGAAGAATTCGAGGAAGAATACGTCTTTTAAAACGCCTAGAATTTCCACTGTGGAATCTCTCACAACACACGAAGCACGATGCGAAAGTGCGCATATGACGTCAAAGGCTAACTCATGCGTAAAACCGCTTTTCAGTTCAGTCGCTGGCTCTCGGTTGCGAGCTGAGAAATGGCGGACGGGTTTTTCGTGAATTTTGGCCAGCTATATCAAGGCGTATTTCGCTTCCATCGACCTAAAAACTATCGCTTAGTACAATTCTAACCATATTAACTTGATTGGTGCTAAAAAATGTCAAAACCAGAGACAAAAATTTTCGTCGTAGTGGCTCTTTAAACAAATCGCGACTTTTTCACTCACTCTTTCCCACACCTCAGGCATTGTACTTGTTTTAACTTTGAATTTTCGTTCAGGTCACACCACACCGAGCACAGTACGGACCCCACCCATCTCACACCTCCAAGAGGCCCCAACTGAAGTTATCGCTTCTATGGTTGACGAGGCAGACTGGGACTTTGATATTCTCAAGTTGGAAAAAGCCTCCAATCACAGGTCTGTTCAACACAATCTTATCTGGTAATCATAAGGGCGTGGCACGGATCCAAGGGGGAGGATGGGGAAGAGAGGTCAATGGGTGTAAGCAGCCCCCTATTCTCTGCCTCTCCCCGATATCATTGTCGGAAGTAGCTTCAATTTCAGCAACTGAGGCAATTACCTCGTGCTCTCTTGATTATATTCACGGGGTGAAACATTTATTTCAATGACTCAAATTTTGGTTGCCAGGGGCACTAACCCCTTGCTTCCTTTTTTCTATTCACCTTCGCTGTCGGAACCCTTTTTCGGTTAGATTGCCCACAAGCCAAGGAGCCTTTGAGAACTTCATCTATCCCACTTCTACAGGAGTGATTTAAGTTTTGCGTGCGATCGCTGGAAAGACTGGTACGAGACTTCTACATTGTTCAAAAAGCGTGTTAAACAAACAAAAACATTCCAATGCTGGATCACTGTCCATATTTTATTGTAATTGTTCCGTGGCTTGTTCTGGGTATCACGAATTTTTTTTTTTAAACCTTTCGTTTCCCGAGAAAGTCGTGGCTTTTAACTCTCAACTTGACTCGGAGAGTTAAAGTGCTATTTTGTAATTTGGTTAGTTAACGTGACTAACATTAATGTGTTGTGACTTTCTCTAGGCCCTTGTACTTTTTGGGAACGAAGATTCTGAACAGGTTCAGGGCCTGTGAATTACTCAACATTACCGAAGATGTTCTTAAGAATTGGTTACAAGTAAGTCTGTGTGTCCATGTTCTGTCTTTTTACGGAGAGGATTTTTCATGGTTCAGAGTCACTTTTCTGTATACCTCACCCACCGCGCACAATTCGTTCGTCTTATTCGATTGTTCGACATCAAGAGGTTATAATCTCTTGTCGACATATGATACGAGCATTGAGTAAAATGTTATTGGGGTTCCGAACGAAAAATGAAATGCAGAAAATGTGAGAAAGGCTTTCGCCGTAGAATTTCCTTTTGCTGCGAACGCCGAGGTAGAATTTACTCTCGACGCACGAGCGCTTGAAAAACAGCGTTACATTCTTCACTCAAGCAGTGTCACTCGTCACACCAGATTATAAACTGCTACTGGAGCACCGTCAGGAAAGCCTGAACTCTTTACAGTCTAACTTACATCACCAGGCAGATTCTCCTTACTTTCCTCGGCACATTTCCTGTGGTATGAATGCTTAAGATGAAACTTTAGCCCTTTGTTCCCTTGAAGAGACTGCCTGTTCTTCCGAACGAGTTCCGAGTTCGAGGCAAAACAATAGGCCTTTTGCAGTTAGAGATCACGTGCTTAGATACCGCATAGCAACGCCATACTGGAGAGCAAGCACTCCAGTGATCTCGGACAAAGTAGAGATCACAGAGGTCTGCATTCAAACAAAGAATACAGCGGATAACAAGTTAATGGGTATCCCAATTCGAGGAATCTTGTAAGTTTTAATCAACAGCTTCCTTGGAGTGTATCAGCGAAAAACGAATTTTGGTGTGATTTTGCCACTGATACACTCCGGGGAAGCTGTTGATTACTTCTTACTGGATTTCTCGAATTGGGATACCTTTTGACCTGTTATCCGCTGCATTCTTTGTTTGAATGCAGACCTCTGTGACCTCTATACTGTCTGAGATCACTTGAGTGCTTGCTCTCCAGTATGGCGTTGCTATGCGGTATCTAAGCACGTGATCTCTAACTGCAAAAGGCCTATTGTTTTGCCTCGAACTCGGAACTCGTTCGGAAGAACAGGCAGTCTCTTCAAGGGAACAAAGGGCTAAAGTTTCATCTTAAGCATTCATACCACAGGAAATGTGCCGAGGAAAGTAAGGAGAATCTGCCTGGTGATGTAAGTTAGACTGTAAAGAGTTCAGGCTTTCCTGACGGTGCTCCAGTAGCAGTTTATAATCTGGTGTGACGAGTGACACTGCTTGAGTGAAGAATGTAACGCTGTTTTTCAAGCGCTCGTGCGTCGAGAGTAAATTCTACCTCGGCGTTCGCAGCAAAAGGAAATTCTACGGCGAAAGCCTTTCTCACATTTTCTGCATTTCATTTTTCGTTCGGAACCCCAATAACATTTTACTCAATGCTCGTATCATATGTCGACAAGAGATTATAACCTCTTGATGTCGAACAATCGAATAAGACGAACGAATTGTGCGCGGTGGGTGAGGTATACAGAAAAGTGACTCTGAACCATGAAAAATCCTCTCCGTAAAAAGACAGAACATGGACACACAGACTTACTTGTAACCAATTCTTAAGAACATCTTCGGTAATGTTGAGTAATTCACAGGCCCTGAACCTGTTCAGAATCTTCGTTCCCAAAAAGTACAAGGGCCTAGAGAAAGTCACAACACATTAATGTTAGTCACGTTAACTAACCAAATTACAAAATAGCACTTTAACTCTCCGAGTCAAGTTGAGAGTTAAAAGCCACGACTTTCTCGGGAAACGAAAGGTTTAAAAAAAAAAATTCGTGATACCCAGAACAAGCCANAGTGGTTCGAGTCCCGTACAGGCCTGATTTTTTTCAGGTCTGATTTTCGCTATTGCTTAAATAGCGCTATCTACTGCGAGGACCGTGCATCATACGTAATTTACAGAATGTACGACAGAATTCGAAAGCACCTGAGCAATTGTACTTCTCTGGCTTATAAAGTATGCAAATTAGCTGTGTTACACGCCTTGCACGAATTAATTCCATCATTAGAACTGTTTTGAACAACTATAACAACGAGCTACAATAACAACCCTCGGTACAATTAAAATCTAAGATATATTTATCACAACAAAGAACAATAGCAACGAACATCACAATTATCGCACATAGGTGCGACTAAACTCGAAGATCTAACACAGACACAGAGCAATAGGATTTCATGGGGATCAATAATTATAATAGATAATTACTTCGGCACATGGCATTATTTCTCATAATGCTATATGCCTCAGTAATTATCCGTTAACTAAGCACGTGATCTGTAGCTGCAAAAGGCCCATTCTTCACAAATTCAACCCATTTAATTTAACGAAATAACAAGCTACACCAGCACGAACATAACCAGCTTCAAACGCTCAGCCCGAAAGGAACTATGGCCCCGTTTAATGATTAAATAATTGAGTTTAATTAATAGTTTTATAGTTTTATATTTTTATAATTTATTTTTTAACCATTATGTCCATTCGTTAGGATTTAATTGTAGGCCATTTCCCACTTACGTTTGGCCTCTTTTTCAAAACGAGGCCTGGTGCTCAACCATACGTATGAAAATGAGTTTAATTTGCATGTGAATGAAAACTTGTTACCATACGAAAGGATGAGCACCAGGACTCGCTTTGAAAAAGAGGCTAAAGGCAATTCGGAAATGGGTTATTTATAATCGTATGTTAGTGTAATTTAGTTTTGAAAATCGCTTTTAGGAATTTCTGATAAACGTATGGTATTGTATTGTATTGTACGACAAAACAACATGGCGGTCTGTTTGACCTCATGGTCAGACTAATTCCCAGTCCTTGTAAACACTGCCCCGTCTCATTTCTCCTAACAGTATCACCTCTGAATCAAACATTAGGGCTCATCCTCGGTGTAAAAACCTGTGAAGCTCACGAGTGACGTAAAACAAAGACAACAAAACATTATAAACAAGAGCATACAGCAAAACAAGACCTCATGAAACAAAGAAAACCTCGTCGGGTTTTTACACCGAGGGTGACCCACAATAGGGTCATGAGATTAAAGGAAATGATCGTCAGTTAAAAAGGCTCTTCACTGCTCAACGAATTCTCCTTGTTATATGTATCATTTTTTTCAGTTATACTGATGTCCATTCATCTGCTCTTGTTTCAGTTAATAGAAGACAACTATCACTCGAAAAATGCCTATCATAACTCCACGCACGCAGCAGATGTCTTGCACGCAACAGCAGTGTTCTTAGCTAAAGAAAGGGTGAAGGTAACATCCTCCCATTTTTCAATATTTATATGTTGTTTGTGGTTGTTGCTTTTGTTGTTGCTGTTATTTTTGTTATTACAAGCGCGCTTTATATCTGAGAATGTTTGGACAGAGCGTATGATACAGAGCGGAAAGGTTGAGATTATTTAACATGAATCTCCGCCTGGCTTTTATTTTCAGTTTTCTTTTTGTTTGTTTGTATGTAGTCCATAGCAGTGTAATCCTCTTGCAATTCAAAGCCAAAACATACGACAAAATGTTTGGGCAAACATTAGCTGTTCCAAGATGCGTCTCGTTTTTCTTGGTCAAATTTTAGCTTTGAACATTTTCCTTTCCTTGTTGAGTTAGTTCTGTCGAAGAAAATATGGAATGAAGGACAGGATCTGGAGTAGAGACCCCCTCCCTTAATCATTCCTTTCTTAGGTATCACATTTTGATTTCAGAGGGAAAGGATCTCTATTATTTACTCATTATTTACTTGTTGATACGATTTTTCTTTATCTTGCAGGCTGTTTTGGAGCCGCTCGATGAAATAGCCTCGTTAATAGCAGCTGTTGTTCACGATGTAGACCATCCGGGATATACCAACTCATTCCTTTGTAATGCGGGAAATGAGCTCGCCATCCTCTACAACGACATCGCCGTACTGGAGAGTCATCATGCTGCGTTGGCGTTCAAACTTACAGCGAAATATGAGAGGTCAAACATCTTCAAGGGACTTGACATGTAAGTTGAAATCCTAGTAGAGCGCTTTTCAGTTGACCATTGTAAGGCCAAAAGCGAAGTAACGACAACAGCCAATCAAAAGAAAGGAGAATACCCTTTAATAGCTAATGAGAACTCAAAGTAAAAACAATCAAACCGCGTAAAGCGCGGAAAAACGCGAGCGACCAAGTGGTGCTGGGTTTTAGTTTCGATCTGAATGGTTGAGAGAGAAGCGAAGCTTCGAGGGCAAATATGCTAGTTTTAAGATCAAATTTCCTAGTTTTAAGATCAAATTGTCTTTATTAGATACAATGAATATATGAAGTTCATATATTCGAACTGCGGTATTAGATACGAATGATGCACGATCCTCGCAGTAGGGAGCGCTATTTATGCAATAGCGAAAAGCAGACCTGAAAAAAATAAGGCCTGTACGGGATTCGAACCACGGACCTCTGCGATACTGTCTTTATTGTTCACCACTGAATTTTGTTCCGCGCGCCGGTTGAAAAACAGTCAAAATAATAATAATAATGATAATAATGATAATGATGATAATGATGATAATGATGATAATGATGATAATAATAATAATAATATAGATCGATTTCTATAGCTCATTTCCATGTAAAATGCTCTAATGCGCTTTACAACACTGTGCGGGGGACTTAAAAACCCACTTAATGCGGGGGACTTAAAAACCCACTAAATGCAGATCAATCAAATATTTATTCATGCGTACAGCCTGTCACAAATGTCAATAATTCGCAACCGGCTAAATAATACGTTATACCTGTCAGAATTGAAGAGTCACTTTTTCCGATCTGCCTGACTTCGTGGCCGTCAAACCGTTCAAAAGTACTATCCATCCGGGTATTTTCCGCGGACGGGTACTATGGAATGATAGTGTCTCTTTACGGATTAACACACTTGCGTCGCGTGATCAATTTAAACCAATAAGAATCGGAGAAAATTTAGTGGTGAACTATGATCTGTGATAGAGTAAAGTGGAAACCCCTACAGAAGGCTGTTCAATTGTAAACAAGAAACAGGAGCCTGTCTTGTTCTTAAATTTTGAAGTACTAGATTTTTACTGAAACAAATAACCACTATCAACTATCAAGCGGTAAGAATCTTGAACTCGAAATCTTATCTTTAAATTTTGGTGCCGCTGCGTTTTATGCACCAGTCGCGGAACTATCGTGGATTAGTGCAATAATTTATTTTAGTATAATTGTTCAGGTGATTGTAGAGATGCGCGCTGTGATTGGTCGAAGATGACCTCGTATCTCGTCGTAATCACGCGAGTGGATTATAGCAGGAGTGCCAAATTTCAAAATAGCTGCTTCTCGTTTTGTCATTGTTTTCCAGGAAGATATAAACGCAATAGAAGAAAATTCAATCGCGAAGACGTGTTTGGCGGAACACTTTTCAGTACGAGTAATCAACAGAACTGTAACAAAATATGCAAAGGCTTTATTAATTTACAGATTGAGATAGAATAAATATATGAAAATCATATATTTTGAACTGCGGTATTTGATACGTATGATGCACGATCCTCGCAGTAGATAGCGCTATTTAAGCAATAGCGAAAATCAGACCTGAAAAAAATCAGGCCTGTACGGGACTCGAACCACTGACCTCTGCGATACTAGTGCAAAATATGTGATTTTCATATATTTATTCTTTCTCATTTATCACTTTCACGGGTTCATTACGAATCAACTTAACGGCCTGCTCTCAGTTGGCTTGTTAGCTCAATTGGTAGAGCGCTGCACTAGTATCGCAGAGGTCAGTGGTTCGAGACCCGTACAGGCCTGATTTTTTTCAGGTCTGATTTTCGCTATTGCTTAAATAGCGCTATCTACTGCGAGGATCGTGCATCATACGTAATTTACACCACAGTTCAAAATATATGATTTTCATATATTTATTCTATCTCATTTATCACTTTCACGGGTTCATTACGAATCAACTTAACGGCCTGCTCTCAGTTGGCTTGTTAGCTCAATTGGTAGAGCGCTGCACTAGTATCGCAGAGGTCAGTGGTTCGAGACCCGTACAGGCCTGATTTTTTTCAGGTCTGATTTTCGCTATTGCTTAAATAGCGCTATCTACTGCGAGGACCGTGCATCATACGTAATTTACAGAATGTACGACAGAATTCGAAAGCACCTGAGCAATTGTACTAACAACAGACACAGTAATATACACGTGTGTCTATTTGTCTTCATTGAGGAAACAGCTGGGGGTGTAGTGACCTACTACATGCCACTGTAGACCTTGGGTCACCTTGCTGTCTTCCTGGCCGGCACTGCTGGTCACTCTTGCATACAGACATTTGTTAACTACACGAAGAATTTTACTATGAAATGTCTTTCACCAGGGATGAGTTCCGGACGATTCGCCAAGCGATCATCGACATGGTAATGGCGACAGAGATGACGAGACATTTTGAGCATCTGTCGAAGTTCGTAAACTCTATAAATAAACGGCGCTCTTCCAGTATGGATGAGGTGCACTCGGTGGTAAGTCGATCTTTCATTGTATCTTCCTTGGTTAGGTAGCTGCATAGTAGCATTGGTTCATCGGCGCGTCGGTGCAAAGTGGTAGTAGTGCATTTGGTGCTTGGTCACATTATGGAATGTGAATTACTGATCACGCGTGCAGCTTACATTTTAGCGGTCGCACACAAGTAGTCAACGGCTCATTTCTTCGCGTTTTTCGATCGGGCGTGCTTAAACTTGTGCGAAAGTAATTATAGCGGTCATCCAGAGCAAAGCAAATATCTTAGAAGCCAATGAGAACTCAAATCGAAAACAAGCATTCGGTTTGGAGAGCGGGGAACGCCAGTCCCCAAGTCCCGATGAGGTTTGGTTGCTTTTGATTGGATGAGTGGGTGTCGTAAATCTTCTTGACCAATCACAGAGTCGTGCAAAGCGAAAATAACACAATTTAGGTTCACTTTTCTCTCTTAGTTTCGACCACTATTTTTTACGCGCTTTGTTTACTTGTGCTCGGTAGATTGAAAATGTCACTTTTAGCGAAACTGGCTGTAGAATATACACTGGAACTGAAAGGATTGTAAATGTTACTCTATGTTTATTTTAACAGCACAGCGGGCGTGGCACTCCGGATTCTCAAGCATCAACCGCGGTAGCACTGAACACTCCAGAAAACCGTACACTGATTAAAAGAATGCTAATTAAGTGTGCCGATATCGCCAACCCGGCTCGACCACGGTACCTGTGTAAGGAGTGGGCATACAGAATAGCACAGGAGTACTTTTCACAGGTACGCACATGACGATTTGTGCGAATACAATTAGTACCGCTAGATTTGCAGTTGAAGGAGAAAATTAATTAAGTCATTTTGAGTGCAGTAAAAAACCCTTCAGATGCAATTTTAATCTTGAAAAAGAGGGCATTTCGACTGGCAATCGTAAACCAGAACTAGAGTAATCACAGCAGCCGATTAGAACAGAGTAATTTCGTAACTCATAATGGCCTGCGGTGTAGGCGTTTTATTAGGGCGAGTTAGCGTTTAGAAGCTCGTGATCGTTGATTCAACCGGTCATGTTTGAGTTGAAGATGGAGGTATAAATTTCTTTCTCTCCCCAACCTTCCGCTGCCATTAAATTAAAAGATGGCGGCTATAATTTTCGCTAAGAAAATACTGAGCACTCGCTCGCCAAAATTACGCCTACTCCGCAGGCTAAACTCATAGACGAGCAAACTGGCTGGAGTTTATTCCTGTACAATTTTTTTTTTCTCTACAGACGGACGAGGAAAAGAGGCGTGGTTTACCGGTTGTGATGCCTGTGTTTGATAAGCAAACATGTAACGTACCGAGATCACAGGTCGGTACAACTTGAATTCACCGTAGCTTGATATTGATGTCGCGCGGCCTTGGACGAGGGAAAGGTGGTAGCCTGGTGCTGGCCACCGCTCTTTGAACCCTGAATATAAGGGCTTAGGTCGGGGTCATCGCGTTGTGTTCGTGTTCAGCGGGGGCAGCATTGGTCAATCTTTGAATGACAAATATCTCTTCCAGAAGGAGTGAACATACTTTTAAAGGCTATTTGTAGTCATTCTTAAACTTCAAACACGACGAGTACATATTAGATCGGAAATAGTGCTGTTCTTGTGAACGCGATTGCCCGAATTGGTACACGTAGCTCAAATTAAGCGCAAATCGTCGCGTCGAATTCCTGTTCTTCAAGACGAACTCTAGTCAGGCCTTAGTATGAAATGTTCGCCTAAGGATTAAGAATTCATTTCCCTGTCAACCGCCAGTTTTTGCACACCCGTCACTTTGCTCGCTCATGTGTAAGATTAAGTGTAAGATTAACAGTTACCAACTGAGCTAACCGCCTCCCGGTTAGCTCAATTGGTAGAGCGCCGGACTGTTGTGCGGGAGGTCGTGAGTTCAAATCCGGCCGGACCTGCACTCAGGGTCTTTAATTAACTGAGAAGAAAGTGCTACCTTCGTAATAATATCTGCAAATGGTTAGACTTTCAAGTCTTCTCGGATAGGGACGAGAAATGGAAGTCCCGTCTCCAGCAGGGTTGGGGTAGGAGACGTTAATTTCCCACACACGAGATTACTGTGTGATGGATGTCCTCCCCGGGGTGGGATGGGTGGGTATAAAAGGGGTTAGGTGTCAATTGGAATGAAAGTCCTGTTCCTTTCTCCTGCCATTCCTGTGGCGAATGAATTAAACCTAAACTTAAACTTAAAGTTAAGTATATTGATATTGATATACTTAATTTCTCTTCACCAAATCTTGTTTTTATCGTTATTTCTTATCTTTTCTAGGTTTGGTTCATAGATTACTTTGTTAGTGACCTTTACGACGCATGGGATGGTATGTCTTTATTCGTAGATCTGTCCGTTAATTTGTCTGCTTTAAATAAAGACAACTTAATCGGTGGCTTAGTCAGAAACAGGTCGTCAAATGTTTTGTCTGATTGAATTTTTATTTTACAGCTTTCGCATTTGTACCCGAGACCATCAGACATCTGACAGATAATCACGAATACTGGAAAAAAGCAGCGGAGGAGTGGGTAAGCGACAATGTTTGTAAGTACCAGGGCACCTTTATTTCTCACTTTAAATGTCCCCCCCTCCCCTTCCCCCTCCCCCTCCTCCTTGCACCAAGTTCATGTACAGAGTTGGTATTTCGTCGTGAATTGGGATGGAAAACAATTTTGGACATATGTTGGATGGATCATTGAAAAATCTTCACCAAAAGTAATGAAACCGGCGAGCAGAACGAAGAGCAACATCTCAAATTATTAATACTGATCCAAAGCTGAGACAGAAAATACATTGTGGGAAACGATAGCCAGAAAGCGGCTACTGTTTTTTGTTTTGTTTTGTTTTGTTTTGTTTTTTTTTTTTGAGCCAATCAAAAAGCACAGTAAAGCAAAACGAAGGCAATCGTGGCCTACTTTCGACCCTCCATGTCCCTGTAGCTTTAAATTTGTATTTCTCTTTTAATTATGAATAAGTCCAGTAATGGTAGATCTGTGGTAGGAAGCCAGGTCTTCACCCTTTAGCTCTTAAGAGTCAGCAGTCCAAGAATAAAGGAAATGATCACAAACTAAGGAAGCCCTTGATTGTGAAACAAAGTCTCCTTGTCAGCACCCTAGGATTGCAAAGAGATCAGTTTGGAGAATATGCTTACTGATATTAGAATGTAATGGGCTTAAGAACGAGACATTGAGGACCGAGGGGTCTGGGTTCGAGCGTTTGCGATTACTCCCACAACTCCCCTCTCCATGCAGGAGTGTGAGTGGTACAGGCAAGCTGTCATGAAAATTCTGGAGGGAAGGGAAGGGGAAAAACTGCCATGGCCCTTCTTCATAGGAATTGCAGTCTTGCTGTTCTCTCCCTGCTAGGGATCCCGGGATACTTTGCAGTAGGTTACTGGCCTCTTTGAGCTAGCAAAGACTTCACCTCGTCATCTCAATAACTCAAGTTTATCTGATTCAGTTTGCTATCTTCTCTTTTTCTTTTTCATCTCTTCTTCTTCAGCCAGTGGGATAAACCATGGCGTTAACTGCTAGTAAACTGCTCTGTCACGTAAACGCTTTGTCGTGGTTTGGGTCCCGCCTGATCTCTTCTCGTCCTTAATAATTCTTCAAGCATAGACACTTCACAGTAGAATCATTTAAACAGCAGTCGAGTGGGTCCAAAGGCGTTTGGACCTTTTTGTGCCTGCGCGGGATTTCATTCCTAATCTGATTATAGTCCCTTTGTTGATTCCCAGGATGCTAATCGCACAACTGCAGCCACTTCCGGTAACTCGACTTCCGGCACCGCCACGAAAAACCCCACGTCTACGTCTTCGTCCGAACCTCCTTCTTCGTCCAGCACGTCTCTAACTTCATCATAGTTTGCTGTCACGGTAGTTGTCGTTAGCCTCTTGTGTTGCCTCTTGTTTTGTATTGTTGTTGTCCATATTGTACACATGTTTCGTGCAGTGAAACGCGTTTCGTTGGCACTTTATGCAGTATTATAACACCTCCCTGCAGCTTAGGATGACTTGAAGCCACTTTGTCTGGTGTGTCCCCTTACTAGAGTCCGCCTCTGACACGTGACGGTAACGCAAAGTAGTCTGTCGCAAACGTTTTCAGGTTTTGTGGAATTTTGTATCTCACTCCGGATTTGCGCATTTCCTCGTCGTTTTCGTCTGAAATTTTTGTTGAAGAACAATTTATGCAAAGAGCGTAGGATGTTACCTAGATTTCTCTAGTAGTCCAATAATGTTTCCTCTGCATACTCTAGTGTTGGCTGTGAAAGCTTTTCTGTCTAAAGCTAGTTTAAGTAAGCCACAATCTTGGCGTCTTACAAAACTATTTAATTACGAGAGAGAGACAGAGTACGTTCTACATATATAAGTAAAACAAAAACAAAAAGAAAAAAGGAAACAAATTGTATATAGTGTTTTCCCATCAAGGAAAATCTCTAGAAAATTATAAAGTATTATATTTATTTCCGTTGACCTACCTACGCACAAGCTCCCCTAATTAAAATTATTTGTTAACTTTTGGTAGATGTCATTTACGTCTCAAAGCCTGAGTTTCCAGCACAGGCTTTTAAAGAAATATCGAGATAAGAATTAATTAAATGATTGCTCGCCAGCTCCCAGTACGGTACGTTTTTCATAAGCCACGAGGAGCAGGCTTCGATCATCCTCTTCTTTCCAAGAACCTCGATGTTATGGAACTTGTAACGTTTTTACTCAGTTTGGTTAACTCTCCATTTTGTTGGCTGGGAATTAATGTGTCGCATGAGCTTTGAAATCCTGATCTTTCGAAGGTGATGGAAAGTGATGCAAATTCGAACGATATGAACTGTCAAATTATGTTGAGAATGTCTATCGTTTACGTTAGCTTCATAACACGCAGTTCTTGAAGAGAAGGGGGCAAGCAAAGAGATCTGTTCCCAGAAGCTTGCTACTTCCACGCTAATACGTCATCATATGAATAGCGAGTGAGTGAAGCTGGAATCTAGCAGTTAAGGAATTAAGGACTGATTTACCTGAGCCTGCGTGTAATGTGGTGATGAAAGCCCACGTGACTTCGAATACATGTTGTCTGTTTGGACCAAAGAGATCAGATATTCTTGGCGTAAAATGTAACTTTTTTATAAAATTTTGAGAAGTTCATCGTGTTTCTTATCTATTTGGGAACCCATTGTCTAGCCATTGCTTTTCAATCACCGTATGTCACAGATTTCTCTCATCTTGGTTTCCCTGCTTTTACATCCTATGTCACGTGTCTAGTGCGTGAAGATTTGCCAGAATCAGTCTTTTATTCCCTGACTCAGTAGAAAGTTGAATAATATTGGAACGTAATGCTAAATTAAATGAAACTTCATCCTTTTACTTAAGCTTGGTGATGGTCAAAACGGAGCATTTAGTTCGCTTTTCGTGCTTGAAAACGTAGCAAATGTACTCAAGCTTAAAATGAGAAAATTCCTTCACAAATATGGTCGTTTTTATGGCAAAGGGTATTAACACCAAGTCATTTTTATCTTGTCCATTTTGTCATTGCTGTGTTGTGTTTATACATTAAAAAAATTATTCCTAATTTATTCCTGCTGCCAATGTGTTTTATAGTCAGGCTTTTGGTGAAACGTCTTATGGTACAAAATGTCTTTTTTTAGGAGGTGGAGCATCCCAATTACCAATTAACTTCTGTTATGTATCGATACAGTTTTCCAAATAATTGATTTCCAGGTTCAATCTCGAAAAAAAACCAGTGACACGAAATGAAAGCCACTCTCGTGGGAAATAGATTTTATGACGGTAAACTGAGTCACCAAGCAGGTGGTCTACATTGCAATGTCAATGTGGGGGGGTCGGCTTGTCTATTTTGACTTCCATTAGTCTGCAAGATAGAAGAGTTTATTGCTGTGGAAAGATGTTCACTTGTGACCGATTTTCTACTTTTTTTTCTTTTGTGGACAACACTCGCCCATTGGATGCATTCGTGTGATGGACTCGTCACTTTCTTCCGTTGGGGTAGACTACGGGACGAACCAAAGAAAGTTTCCTTGTTAGTTGATCGTGTTACCGGGAGGGCGGGTTTTGTCACGCAACACGCGAGACCTCTTGAGTTTCATCTGAACATCTCACAGCAATGAAATTATATTGTGTGATCCATGACTGTTTTCACCAAGAGCCTTGTAGAAAATGTTAGTCGAGCAAGACCATTTTAATTTGTAAAGCTTCCTGTACACACTTATTGAATTTCTAGCTAGCTCAGTTGTACAGTTTTGATCAAATCATTTTAATGGGTCAACGTTGCGTTGTCCTGTGTCATTATGTATAAAAAGTATAATTTTCATAATACAACGATGATAATGATAATATAAGTTGATTGCTTGGAGAGATCCAGGATATTGAAGTTATTATATCATGTACAAATTGTTTGATAAATCTTGAGTAGCCCGTTGGATTTCTATGTAGATGTTCTGTGTGGACGTCAATTATGTTGTTCTTTCCTAGATTGTGTTGTGTACAGTTGCTTTAGTTCTGAATCTCTAAAAGTGGACATTATAGAATAGATATGATTAAAATAAGTTATTGGATCGTCTGACTTGTGAAAGATTTGCTGTGAATGCATTTGCTTGTAAGTCCAATTTATAGTTTCTGTTTTGTTGCCAAGCCTTTCGATTGGAGTGAGGCTGAAAGTGACCTTGTTAAAAGAGAATTATTGTCCTAACTACTTGTCTTTCGACTCTTTCATGTATCTTAAACCCTGTAACACCCATGAGTGACCAAGACAGAATTTCTCCTCACAATATCAATACAATATCAAGCAGACAAGTGAGGAGAATACGAAAAAAGAGAATCAGGGGACAATCAGTCGATGTAATACCAAATTCTCCAAACTAACCTCATAAGAATTGTATGGCAGACAGTAAGGAGAATTACTAATGAGATCTTGTGAGCGAAAGGGTTAAATTCCCATGAGTGACCAGGGCAGAATTTTTCCCTGACAATATTAATACAATTCAAAACAGACACGTGATGAGATTGAAGGAAAGTAGAAATTACGGGATCCATTGCTGATTCAATACCAAGTTCTTCTAACTAACATCATAAGAATTGTATGACAGACAGTAAGGAGAATAATAAAGTCGAAGTGGAGGTCCACAGAAACACTGGAAAAGAACGAGGCTAATATCCAGCCATCTTGACCGAATAAGCTTGGTCATTAAAGCATTTATCGTAGAAGATTTCGCTCTAATAAGAATCAAGAATTATTTATTTCTGTGTTTGTGGCACACCGAAACCAAGAGGTTCGTATAAATTTTTCTTTGTTTTGACTGCCTTCTGCCGCTTTTTGCGACTTCGTTGCCGACATCGTTCAAAAAGTTGCGAACTTTGTGAGTCCACCCCACGCACTTTTTTCCTGCGCAGGATCAATACAGGCAATCCCAGGTAGCCAATTAGAACAAAGGATTCGCTTGCCCGCACTCGCCGCCAGCCATAAATTAACATGCCTTACTCGTTTTTCAGACCCTTTTTCACGGTCCGCACACGGAACCTCCTTTTTCCACTCAGAGTTTTGGCCTGCGTGCTACATATCCTCAAAAATCTTGAAAGTCTGCAGAGTCTTAATCATCCGAATTTTAATTCAAATTGGGTTTCTCTCATTGTTTTCAAGGATTTCTTGTTGTCCAGGAAACTTCACACTCGTGTATTTTTTTGTATGTATAGAAATAAATGTTACTTTTAGATCTTGCTAAACATGGAATAAAATCTTATAAAACATAATATGAATATATCAACAAAGTTGAGATGGTAAATTGGCCACCGTTACGATTATAAAAGCTGACGTTTCGAGCGTTAGCCCTTCGTCGAAACGTCAGCTTTTGTAATCGTAACGGTGGCCAATTTACCATCTCAACTTTGTTGATATATTCATATTATTTCGTTACCCCCACCGACGCAGCCCCAAACAGTTTCTTTTGAAACTATCAGTTCTCATAAAACATATCATAAGGGAAGACAAACAACCTGTCTGTTGCTTAACTTTTATTCCAGTGTCCTCCAAGACTGCAGTTTTAATTAAAACCGGTTTCAAGTTTCAGATATCTTTCGTTAATAGCAAACAGCCTTTCAGGTGATAAACTATCCCCTACTTCAAAAGTTTCATTAAACGTCGCATCATCCCAAATTATCTCCAATTGCAGAAGCCATAGTCTTATCAAAGTTCCTTCTCCATCTAGCTGGGTAGGAATGATACCCAAATATTTAGCCAATACTCCTAAATACGCATCTTCCATTTTAAATGAGCGAATGATTTTAGACGCGTTGAGAAACTCAAGAACAACTTTTTTAGACATGATGTAGAATGGATTATTGCAGTAAACAGGATATGTCGTGTCATTGAAATCCTCGTGACTGATAAAGTACTTGTGCCTTGGATCCCGTCAGCAGGTGAATTATAAAGCAGAGTTCCTCCGTACAACATATCGGGTAAAGAAGTAGTTTGCAATCGCCAAACCATCCTGCAGACATCTAAGTACACATCATCGTCTATTTTGACCACAAACTTGGCGTTTAATGTTGAAGCAAATCTTAGCGAATCCAGAGTGTCTTGTACTAACAAAGAGTAGGATTCTGTGTAGTTCAGTCTTAGAATATCCCCATGAATCATGTTTTCACTCTCCACCACAGTTTCAACCTCCTGTTCCTCGCTATGGCCGCGGACGAAGTAATACTGAATAAGCAAGTTATTGGTAGAATTTTTAGGGTCCTTCATATTTAGCACGTTTGAGCGATGTAGTGCAACATGCGATGAAGACGGATAGCCAAGTTTGTCGAATTGCGTATCTTTGTTCAAGGTTGAAAGGAGCGCTTATTATCAATATGAGAACAAAATTTTCGGTCTCCTGAGCCAGCTGGCTGCATTCTGACGGTGAATTTATCCCTCTTTGGCCTAACTCCTTTACAGCTGACTTAAAAGAAGCAAATGGTAAAGAACTTTGCTTTGATGGCTTCACCCCCAAAGTCATCAGATACACAGGGGTGTAGCCAGGATTTTTCAAAGGGGGGGGTCACAGAGGCTATTCACCATTTACACCGCTGCTCTCCCGCGTGTATCAGCGGGCTCAGTCGTATAATCGCGGCATGAAGACCCATATTAACTAAATACAAGAGCCGTTGACGAAAATACCTCAGCCAAGATATTGTCATGGCGTTTTCGCCACCTGAATATTGTAGGTTGTTTGCTCTAAAGAAGGCCTACCAAGGGGGGGTAACGGGCACCCCAGGACCCCCCCTGGCTACGCCCTTGATACACTGTCACAAAAACGCCCAGTAGACAAAGAACAGAAAAACCAAAAAGAAGTCTGCGTAACCGAAACCTTGCCACCTTTCCCGGAAGAACCTGATGGTGTCATTAAGTCAAATTTTCAAGAACACCCCAGTTCATATTTAGGGAACAAGTTTCTTTCGTCGGTAATTTGAATAACAAGGTAATTAAATTCTTCTCGGATTTGTTCATCAACGACCTTTGTTCGGTTATTGTTTGAATTCTCCCATCACTGAAACCCCGTCACTGTGACTTATCACTCCTATGTTTGAGTTCCTTTGATGGTTATTAGAAATAGGTTTGGTTTCGACTACAGTTACGAGTAGATTTTAAACTCAACTGATTAACTAGTTTCAGACAAAGAAAAAACAAGCTAGAAAGAAGAAAGGAAAGAAAGGAAAAAAAAGAAGAAAGAAACCAAAGAAAAAAGATAATTTGTTTTTATCAACTGAGTTGATAATGTAAACGAGAGCTTAGAAACTCTTTACGGTGGCCAATTTACATTACCAACTCAGTTGATAAAACCAAATTATCTTTGTTATACATACTCCCCCAGCGACGCTGCACCACAGTTTCTTTAGAAACTTACCCCCTATGATATAAAAAAAAAAAACTAAGCCGCAAAAGAGCAGCGTCAGTAGTTTAGAAGAGTTCTTATACCCTTCAAAGTGATGGTCGCCATAGCAATTGTTGCAAATTGTCAGAAATTTCAGAATTGATGACTTCAGCTGAGTCACCTCGCTGTTTTCACATTGTTAAACCTTAGAGCCATTTGAAGAACACGAAAAAGTTCACGACTTCCAAATGGGTGATTACGTTACTAAATCGATGAAAAATGAATAATTAAAATTTCTGGTTTTTTTTGTACGTATTTTTTCTAATGAACCTATATACTTTTATAACATAACCAAAGTAGAGCGCGCGCTCTGATTGGTCAATTTAGCGTTTCCCATTTGCCCATGGGTGTACGCTGCTGACGTGAGCAAATGCAAAGACTATTTTTCCGCGCGCGCTTGTTTTTTCTGGTC